ATATATATTTTTTATTATTATTATTTTTGTTTTTTTTTTTAAGAGCAACAAGCGAACAAGCTGTAAAACAAGAAGCAGCAGCAGCAGCCGAAGAACACGCAACACGCTTAAAAATTGCTTGTAATAAAATTTGTTTATTTAATTTTAATTTTTTTTTTTTTTTTTTGGTTTTTCTCCAAGCAAAACAATTTCTTGAAAGTTGAGAGGCAAAAAAAGAAGTGCTTTAACGACTTCTATGGAAATTTGAGCTTTAATTTTGTATATAAATTAAAATCATGAGCCATGACAGCGGCGGTCAAGGCACAGACGACAGCCAGAAGCAGTTGTTGTTGTCGTCGTTGTTGTTGTTGTTGTTGGTCTTCTTTTTCAATTGTCAACGCGAGTGGGCGTGGCCGGAAGTGGCGTGTGATTAGAACTAATTGCCAGGTAAACAAGTCGCCGCTCGGGTTCAAAGGCAGGTGAAAGGCCAGTCAAGAGTCGCTACGCTTTCCCTGGCCCCGCCGCGCTCCTAGCTAGAGTGAGAGGGGGGGGGGGGGATGGGGGCGGCCTGATAGGAAGTCTCGTTGTCTGTTATTGTAGCTGCCAAATAATTTGCTGCAGCTCGGCTTGGCGATTATCATTGTAATTATGCTCAATGCGGTTGCGATTAGCCAGCATCGCAACGCTCAGCTCGGAGCTCAGAGCACAGAGCTCGGACAGCGGACGCTTGCATCTAACAGAGATGCCGACAACAACAACAACAACAACATCGGCGGATGTGAATGACGGTTCACGAATGACGAATGACGCAGAGACATACTGGAACGCGCGGACGGATGCTGTTGATGAAAGCCGAATGACGCTCGCACTCTCGCATTGGAATGCCTTTTCATGCCGTTGACAGCGGCAATCAATTCGATGACTTTGATATTGGGGGTAGTCCATTATTGAGCTATCGATTAGCCAGCGAATTGTGTTGGTCGGGCAAGACCGGGCAACTGCCACTCAAAAATGTGAAGAGCTGTTAAATTGCATTCCATTTGGCCAGCCTCCTGTCAATCAAATGTCAAAATTGTCAGCCAGTTGACAATGGTCTAGCTGCGCGTTCTAAGCCTTGCAAGCTGGCAACGCTGCGAGCATATGTAAATGCTTGCCAGATCGAAAATTAACTCTTTGACCATTTATCGATACTTTATCGATTGTTCATGTCGTTCAGTCCCGACACACTTTCTCATTTGTCACTGACAAAGTTGCTGTTAGTTGACGAGCACTTATATGGCTACTCATCTTTTGGAGCTCCTGTCAACCAAGTGTCAAAATTGTCGGCCAGTTGACAACTGCTTTGCTGCGCAGCTTTACTTGCCCGAGGTTGCCAATATCAAGTTAACTGCAAGGTGGCAACGCTGTAAATATATGTTAAAGCCAGATGTACCTGCCAGAAACTGATTCGATTTTATTTTTTTAAGAATGCATCATGATATTAAGGGAAGTCCATGCTTAACCTATCGATAAGTTAACGATTGTTCATATCACTCAGTCCAGACACACTTTCTCATATGTCTCTAACAGAATTTCTATTAGCTGTCAAGCAGTTATTTTGCTTTTCATGTTATCTACAACTCTCGTCAATCAACTGTCAAAATTGTCGGCCAGTTGACAACTGCCTAGCTGCGCCTTCTAAATGTTGGCAATGCTGCAAGCACATGTTAAAGCTTGACATGCCCTGCCAGAACACATCTCTTTTATGAGTTCTATCATGCTTGACCCACCGATAAGTTATCGAATGTTGATATTACTCAGTCAGAACTATGTGAAAGTTTCTGCCCCACGCCCATGCCAGCTTTTATCGGTATAAACTTTATATATATATAAACTAAATTCACGTTTGGCAGCACGTTAATTTTATATATTTTTCTATATGTGTGCATGCAATAACAAGTCTTAAGCTTCACAAGTATTTTTTGATAAAACAATTAATAACAAGTGCTGTTTTAATAAAGCTGTTCGATTGATGGACAGATCGTTTATCAAGCTGCAAGAAAAAGGGGTCAGCTTTTTTTTAGCAGCAGCTTCTTTTTGTCATGTGAGTTAACATTCATTGGATGCATGCAAAAAGGTTGTATGAAAAATGATGTGTATGGTGTGTGGACGGAAAACTGTTTTTCTTATGTAGAAAAACGAATGTTAAACTTCAGCATTAAAGCTTCAGAGGCAAAAAGTCGGCTAATATCTATTTTCTGAATGCTAAGTGTAATAATTAACACTTTTGACAGGCTAACAATGCCCTAACATAACTCCCAAATACATTTAACAAAGATTTATTAACAGCTGTCAAAATTACCATTAGTATTGCCTTAAAAAACACCTTACATTGTTAACAGTTGATTAACAGGTCAAAGATATGCTAGCAAGGGGACGCTGTCTTAACTGGTTTTTAACATGTCATACGAATGTTAATAAGAGCAATTTTATTATTATTTAGAGTTGCTTAAAAGCTCATAGAAATGTTAACAGGGAAACGCACCGCACTAACAGTTATTTAGCATGTGATGAGAATGTTAATTAGAGCTGTTTTAATTATTTACAGTTGTTTTTTATTATACAAATGTTACCAAGAGAAGATGCTGCACTTACATATATTTAACATGTCATATATACGTTAATTAAAGCTCTTTATTTATTATTAACAGTTGTTTAACAGGTCATAGAAATGTTACCCAGGGAACGCGCTCTATTAACAGTTATCTAAAATGTCATAACAATATTTATTAGAGCCTTTTATTTGTTATGAACAGCAGCAATGTAAATTTAACATGTCGAAGATATGTTAATTAGAGCGTTTTCCGAATTAAAGTTTGCTAAGACAACAGCCTAACATGTTGTAGAACTGTTAAATAAAATTGTCTAACATAGTTTAAAAATGTTAACAAAAGTGCGCTTACCGTTATCTTATCAACAGCAGCAGCATCTGGGCAAATGGCCCTCAGCTCCAGCTCCAGCTCCAGCTCTAGCTTTGGCTCTTACCTAATGCCCGCTGTCGAAATACCTAACCTCAATCGTAAATATGAATAACATGAAATTCGCATAGACAATGTTTGGATGTCATAAACCGATATATGTACATATTATGTGTACATATATATATATAAGTAATGTACAACGCAAAACAATTTGCCGCCACGTATTTATCATCATTTAGTGGCGCCTCCGCGGAATGCCCGCCAAACAGCGGCCCTTCCGTTGCAACAAGTTTGTTGCCTAAGTCTTTCGTTTGGCTTGAGCTTTTCGCCTCGGCTCGGCTCGGCTCGGATCGCAAGTGTCTTGAACTTTTCGCCCGGGCTACCATTTGGGCATTATGAAAGATCTGCGAGCACTAAAATGATTTATAGAGCCACATAAACAGTTAATAAATACGCTGTAAATCACAGTAAACAACATGATGGATCGAATGGGAATGGAAGTGGGAATGCGAATGCGAATGCAAATGGAAATGGAAATGGCAGGCTTCAAAGAAAAATAAAAAGCAAAAGGAAAACGAAAACGAAAACAAAAACGAAATTCATCTGGAAAAGTAATACCTAAAATTGTGTTGTGCATAATTTCAATAATAAATTTCTATAATTTTCAACTTGTTTCTTGCCTGTCGATTGACGACGGTTGTTGTTGTTGTTGTCGGTTGCTGCAAGTGAAGCGTAGAATTACGTGAAAGAAAAGTGAAATTATGCAGCGAATACGAAAAGCAGCAACAAGTTGCTGTTACAGTTGTTGTTGCTGCTGCTGTTGTCACAGCTGTTGTTGTTGTCATAGTTGTTGCTGTTGTTGTTGCTGCTGCCTGTTTGTGTTTGTGGTGCGTGAAAGCAGCTAAAACGTTTTGAGCATCGCCTCATTCGATGCGTGCGACCCAAATTTTGAAATTCAATTGCAAGTTCAAGTTTTCTATATATCTGTAATACCCTTTAAAGCATTGCCCGTTGTTTTCATGGCAATTTGATTTGGTTGGGCCTTAAGCAATCAGAACTCTTCGCACTTATATTTTTTTTTGCTTCCATCTATTTTCCACGCTTCTGGGTGAATTTCGAAAACCTTATTGGTTTTAACCTGTCTAGCTATTCTTATATATAGATCGGAATAGCTGGGAATAATGAGCCCAGCTTCTACTTACGCAACATTGCACATTTACTCGCCTCGGAGCGAGTTTCAATTTCGCATTCTGCTTTGCGCTGCATTCGTAAACGTTTCACTGTATAAGCTTGATTGTTAGCATCCGAATATTTGTTTACTTTTACTATTATATTTCTGTCAATGCAATGAAATGTGAAATGAGAAAACCTCTCCGACCCCATAAAGTATATATATTCTCGATCAGCAACAAATTAATACCATGTCCATCTATCTGTTTCTTAGCAAACTAGTCTCTCAGCCCTCAAGCTATCATCTTGAAACCGTGCATAGTTCCGTCTTTCTGTTGCAAGCAGTACATATGTATGTCGGAACCTGTCGGATCGAACCCCTATATATATTATATAGCTGCCATAGGAAAGATCGGTCGAAAAGTAGCTTTATGTATGGACAACTTTTTTGTTTAACAAGATATCTTCATTGGTTAAACTAAGTTGAGTCTTAACTCTGAAGGAAGAATGATTTTTTGTAATGCAAAATATTCTGTTCTCCAAGATATTTTCGCCACACGCAGCATTTACGAGCATCACATATCTGCAAAATAGTAGGACAAATGTCCGCAAGGGTATTAACACTTCGGCGTGCCTAAGATATCGTTACTTTCTCGTTTTATTTGGCAATAGTTCTTCTCCTTCTTCTTCTGCGTGATATTCGCAGCTTTTCAATTGAACCCATTTGTTTTTTGCCTTTTGTAGGGCATCTAAAGAGTCGACTTAGATTAAGTTTGTTGTTTTTCTTGCTGTTTGCTTCTGCTTTAAGCACATTCTTTCACCTGCCAATTGGCACGCAACGCACGTCCATCCAAACGCCCGCAGCTCACCTTTCGCTCTTTCTTTTTGCAGTTGCGCCTGAGGCAGCAGCAGCAGCAGCAGTAGCAGCAGCTCTCAATTGGCCGGAGATTATGATGATGATGATGTCGTCGGCGCCGGCATCGACAGACTGCAGCAGCAGCAGCATGCAGGGCTCGACAACGAGCAGCGCCTCGAGCGATGTCATGACGCTGACCACCACGGCGGCCTCCTCGTGGTGCGCGATGCCGGCGAGCACGCGGCTGCGCGTGGTGCGCCTGGTGCGTCCGCATCAGCGCCGGCTGCTGGTGGTGCCGGAGCGCAGCGCCACGTTCGGGTTCGCGGTGCGCGGCGGCAAGGAGCACGGCATCGGCTTCTTTGTCTCGCACGTCGATAACGGCGGCGAGGCGCAGCTAAAGGGATTGCGCGTAAGTGGATCAGTGGATCAGCGGGTCAGTCACGTCCGACTACGTGACTGCCGCCGCCCAGTTGAACGAACTGCGCTCACTTTCCTGCTTTCCCATCACTTCTTCTCACAGATCGGCGACCAGATCTTGCGCATCAACGGCTATCGGCTGGAGGACGCGGTGCACAAGGAGTTCATACAGCTGGTGGCCAGCCAGGATCGTGTCACGCTCAAGGTGCGCGGCGTGGGCATGCTGCCAGTCAAGGAGTAAGTCAATAAACAGAATGCTCTAGTAGGGCATGCTCGACTAGCAGATACCCTGAACCCAACGCCAAACTGCTGGAATTGTTTTATTAATTAACTTCGATGTTGATTGTCCGATCTTAATGAAATTTGCGTTGCCTTATTATGGCATACATAAAGTGTGGACATACCAAAGCGCAAGATTGATGATTTTTCCAGTTCCAGGGATTACTAGGAGAGGTATTTTTAAATTGTGAAGCATTTGTTATCTGTAAATAACTAAACAACAAATTTGGTGTAAATCGCCTTTATGATTCTCGAGTAATGCTCGAAAAACAAAGATTCGAAATCGATATTTATCGATATAATGGCAATAGAAGAAAATATCGGCAGGAAAATATGAATTCTTTGCGTGTATGTCTTAGGAGAATATTTATTACAATTTGCAAGTCTCTAGCTTTGACAGTTGCCAAGATCAAAGGGTTCCAGCAGATGGATAGACAAGGAATCACGGCTTAATTGAATCCAGACTTTCTTCAACCTGAATACATTTGCACATAACCCATATACTCATTTACTGCGCTTTTTCTGGGTTCAGGTTAAGAGAATGATTAAGGAACCTTGAAAAAAGTCTATTGTGGGGCATATCTCGTTAAAGCTAGTTTAAGGCATTGTAGAATCATAATTTGCACCAAGATAGACTCTAACGAATGTCAATTTTGCAGTCAGCCGGATGAGCGGCTGTCGTGGAGCGTGGTGAAGCTGCCCAGCGTGAGCGGCACGCCCTCGGAGAGCTCGTTCAAGGCGTCGACAGAACGGCGCACGGCCAGCCGGGACATCAATGTGGTGCTGCATGTGGCGCCACGGACCAAACTGGGACTGGGCATCTGCAAGGGACCCGAGTGGAAGCCGGGCATCTTTGTGCAGTTCACCAAGGAGCGGAGTGTGGCGCGCGAGGCGGGCCTGCGGCCGGGCGATCAAATCCTCAGCGTGAACAGCATCGACTTCTCCGATGTGCTCTTCAGCGAGGCCGTCGCCGTGATGAAGGGCTCCAGCAAGCTGGACATGGTGGTGCGCACCGCCGCCGGCTGTGATCTGTTTCCCGGCGAGTCCAGCGGCTACAACAGCTCCGCCAGCTCCGTGACCGGCGATCAGAGTCCCTGCTGGGCGGACGCCAAGTCCAAGCGGTTAACCGCGGTGCGCGAGGAGCCCAGCCAAGCCTCTGGCGCCGTCCAGGTGCACAAACAGCTCAACAAGACGATCATCAAGCTGACCGAGAATGGCACCTCCATCAACAGCACCTACATAGCCAATGCCAGTCAGCAGCAGCAGCAGCAGCAGGAGCTGTCGGTTAGCCGCAGCACCACAATGCGACGCAGCTGCTCGGTTTCAGCGCCTGCTCCACCGCCGCCAGCGGCAGCAGCGCTGAACAGCGGCAACGCAGCCGCAGCTGGAGGAGGAGCAGGAGCAGCAGCAGCAGCAGCAGCAGTAGCAGGAACTGGCGCCAGCAACAGCAGCAGCCTCTCCAGTGCCATAAACGAGGAGCTCAAGAAGCGCAAGGAGGTGAGAAGTGCTGGCCGTGCTTATTTTTGCTATACCCTGTAATCCTCTATGAGCCCTTACCCCATATACAAGATTGTAGTTCGAGGCGTTAAGCTGATCCAAGCTGATCTCCGATTGAAGTTTCCTGCATGGCATACGCGAATAAAATGCATTCCCAATTTTCAATAAGCGCTAATCGATGAATATCGATTTACAAAGCTTTTTTTCTATTGATCTACAAAAGCTTAAGGCTTCCAATTTGTAATGTTCAACTCTGGCGTACCGAATGCGCTCAAATTCAATTCAATTCGTTTACTTTCTAAATTAGCCAAAATCGATAAATATCGATGGGTCTTAGTCTTAGGTTTCTTTTAAGACCTATACAAGCTTAAGACCATAAGCACTTTGAATGCCAAATTTTGTCTTGCTTAGTTGGATTTTGATTGATAATCGATCATTTTGTTTATAATCGATAAATATCGATTCCCGCAAGCGTTTATTTTGGAAAGCAAGCAACTTCAAATTTTGGCAGGTCTGTTTCAGAAATCTTTTATTTCTGCTTCAACTTCGCCGGACTCCGATTAAAATCGATTACAGGGCAAACACTAGTCGGGCACGCTCGACTTGCGTGCAGCCGAATGCAGCTAATTGTGTGTCTTTTTTGCAGAAGCAGCAGCAGCAGCAGCAGCATTGTCATCATCATCTGTCGGGGCAGCGGAGCAGCAGTGGCAGCCACTTGAGTCGCGATCGCGATCGGGCCAGAGATCGCGATCAGCGAACTGAAGATCGGCCGCACAATGGCGGCAGCCGCGCCGGCGTTGCACAAGTGTCGCACAAGCGCGAACGCAACACAAGCGCTGGCGGTGCAGCGACTGCGACTGCGTCGGCGACCGCGACGTCGACATCGACTGCGGCTGGCGTTGGCGATCAGCACACGGCGCTGATGGATGAATTTAAGCGCGCGCATCAGCGCATGTTCAGGAACGGGTTCCATGAGAGCGAGCACAAGGTGAGCCGGCACACACACACACACACACACACACACAGCCTGCAGTTGTTGTTGTTGTTGCTGCTGCATTGTTGCAACACACAAAAGCAACCAGCAGCAACAGCAGCAGCAGCAACAACAATGGCTACTTGCAAAGGTCAAGAGAGCTGCGGACTGCACTTGTTGTTGTTGTTGTTGCATTTGTTGTTCTTATTGTTGTTGCTGCAGTTGATTGTTAGCCATGTGAAGTATTTGTTAGCCACTTGACTCAAGTCAAGTGAATGAGGGCACAACAAGTGACTAAGACAGAAAAAGATAGAGCGAGAGTGAGAGAGAGAGAGAGAGGGAGAGAGAGAAGCTAAACAGTCGCCGCAACTGCAAATTGGGTCTTTCCTCGAGCCCCATTGATAAACCTAATTGCCAAGCACTACAAAAAAAGAAATTAATTAATAAATATACAGTGAAAGCTCTTTGAAGCGAACCAATACGCTTCTCCTTTTACGCCTTTTACGCTTCTTGCAAGTTCTTTTATTTCAAAATATTTTGAAAAAATAACGAAAATTGTGGACTTTACAAGTAATTATGGAATTATGCTTATGCTCTGCTTGTTGCTATACCCTGTAATCCTCTAGGAGTCCATACCCTACATGGATCTAATATAGAGGCTTTTAGCTGATCCCCATTTGTCCGTCTCACCAGATAAAATGCATTCCCAATTCTCGATAAGCGCCAATCGATAGTTATTGCCAATTTTCAATAAGTGAAAATACTTCTTCCAATTGGTAACTTTAAACACTGTTAATAACAAATGAAAATAAGTGTTGGTAAATTTTCGAATCATGCTTAAGAGAAACCAGGTTCCAAAATCGATGGAACAAATTCGTTTAACTTATTTCTTATTATTCATATTATATACATTATGCAATTATATTAATGCCAAAGTTGAAGCTTTCTTGCTTTTGAATCGATTTATGTACATATGTAAATATATACTTGATGTGCTCACAGATATTTCCCAGCGCCAGTTACTTTTTAATACACCAATATTAATAAAACACTTTTACCCATTTTCCATGGGTTCAGGGTGTAAAAAATAGAGTTAGTCCGTCATAAATAGGCCACTTTCAGCGCAAAGTTAGTAAAAATATTTGAGCCCAAACAAGTCGAAGGTGTCCGCCCAAATCAGCTGTGCGTTAGTAGAGCTTTCACTTTAATATTGTTAACCCTTCTATACTGATTTTTGTCCAAATGTATGTAACAGTGCAAAGAAAACAACTCCGAATCCAAAAGTATATATATTCTTGATCAGCTTCAATAGTCGAGGCCTCTGTCTGTCTGTCCGTCGATTCGTATGTATGAACGCGTCGATCTCATTGTTGTTTCCGATAACCGATAAGTTGCCCCCCGTTTCCAATCGATAACTATCGATAACGAAATCCTGTTTTATGAGCAAATCTCTTTGGTTGCAAAAGCTAGAGTCAGCAAACTTAAAATGTGGCGTCTAGAACAGTATATACGGATCAAGTATCATTCATTTTATAGCTATCGCCCCTCCCCCTACTTGTTGTTGGTAGACGAAGATTCAGGGTATCCCCTAGTCGGGCACTCCCGCCTAGAGACCTCTTAAATGTTTTCGTTTTGCTTATTTACTTTGAACACTGTCTGAAAATACAAGAGAGTACTTCATTTTAATCGGTCAATAGGCTTTTATTAAATCAGAATAATTCCTAAGTCTCGCAGATTGTCGTGAGTCAGCGCGGCAAATATCACGCACTTAAATCTGCTATTGCTAATGATTGATAAATATTTAATTATATATATATATATATGTATATATATTGCACAATTTTATGATGTCCTTTATTGCCTAGTTCGCAAAGCGAGCAAAGCGAAATGAAAGTTATTTGATTTCTAGTGAAAAATGATAATAAATGTCTGCACTAATCTTGAGTGTTTGGCTAAGCGATACCCTGCCGCAAGTGCACACAGGGCATATGCATGCATGTCATGTTTTGTACACATTATTTTAATAACCTGTCCCAAACCGAACTTCAAGCGAACTTTATCGTTAACCAACTTTACCAACTTTAGCTAGAACAGATCCCGATATACATACATGCTCTTAAGATATAGATAAGATTATATATATATGTATATATATAAATTTGTGTGTGTGTTTCTTGATGTATTTAGATATAGCATATAGTATATATATATATAGTTATATGCTGGCTGGCTGCAATCTGATAGCATATATAAACTAAGCAGGAATTATTGCTAAATATATTGACTATATACTATATCATATAGCTGGCATGGAAAGTATATATTTGAAAAAGTACGTTTTTTATCAAGAATTTGTAGACCAAACTTGACATTTACTAGTTAGCACGATCCTATCAACATCTGACAAGTAAGTATATCCCTTAGATATATAATAGGTCGAAGACTAAAACTATAAAACCGTCTTAAATCGGTTTAAAATAGCATGAAGCTTCTATACGATAGAAACGATCGGTCGAAAGTTCAGTTTATATGTTTCTCAAGTAACCTTTATTAATGCGAGCATAAAATCCGTTCATTATCGAGCTACTATATCATATAGGCACGATCGGACGATCGAAAATGTGACCAAGTATGCAAATACTTATATTCGAAGGGATCCATAAAACCAAGAAATGTCGTAATTGCTGGGAATATAACATCGTATCAACTGCTCGATTTTACTTTTATTTTAGTAAACGATATTTCAATCGATGATTCAATCATTCGCTCCGATAAGTTAATTCGGAGTTGCGCTACTGAAACCTAATATTCGGAATATCGTATATCATTCCGCAAAGCTATCATCTAATTAATATATACATATATGTGTATATATCTATATCTATTATATATACATACATATCTATCTATATATATATAAGAAATTTACGATTTTTGATGCCGTAGCTTTTACGATTTTGTTGACTTAACAATTCGGAGATAATCCGAAAAAAAAGTGGTATATTATTCTTCACTTTGAAATATTTGACTTGAATAATTTGGAGAAAACTCGAAATGTACTATATATAACTTTATATAGCTACATATATCTGTAAGCTTTCAGTGATCGCAAATCGAATTAAAATCGGTAATAAAATTCTCGAGTAATGATCAAAAATGGAGGCTCAGCTCTAAAAAAAAGTTTAAAAATCGAGCATATATTAAATATTTTTTTAGTTTAATATGTCACCATAGAACAATTTGTAAACAGTTTTTATTAATTGAAAAAAAAAGTGTTCAATTTTATGTTAATAATAAAAAATAAATGAATACTTTAATGCGCTAATAAATTTAGCTGGTTAGGTTTTTAGCAGTATTCCCAACTACGAACTGTGAACGAATTCTGGCTAAATTTTAAATGTATTTACACACACACCCGCGCACACACACACATTGATGTTTGTTTATTGACCTTGTCATTGGGTTTTTTTTTTTTTTTGGTTTTTCAAACTAAGTTTGCGTTTGGCAATTAGTTGGCTTTCCCTTTTTTGGACAGCGTTTTGTCTCATTGCAACAATTGCTGGCGGCTGTCAGCAGCAGCAGCCGCTGCCGCAGCCGCAGTTGCCGCGCCACCCGCACCACCAACACAATGACTCACCACACAAGCAAATTGAGTGTGTGTGTGTGTGTGTGTGTGTGCGCTGCTCAATGGGCCGCTTGTTATCTTATCAGCTGCGACAGGTGAGCCGCTGCCGCCGCCGCCGTCAAAGCTGGCGCTGCTCGAGCAGCTCGCATGCCCGGGCGTCCAGTCTAGCGAGCGATTTGCGAGCGACAACAGCTGCAGCCAGTGTCAGAGCATTGATAACAGCAAGAACAAGAAGACGAAGACGGCGAAGAAGAAGAAGAACTAGTGCAAGAAACTCAATTAAGACACAGATTCCATTGGCAACCGAGCAATGAGTTTGCTACGTCCCAAAAATGTGGGCGGCAATAGCAATGATGGGCGTGCCAGCGATATGCCCACCATGCGGCCAGTCACCATGGGCCGCCCCCTGGTGACCATGTCCACATACGAGGTAGCCCAACGACAGCGACAACAGCCAGTCAATCATCCAGCCAACCTTCCATCCATCCATCAATCAATCAATCAATCAATCACTGCAGCAATTAAATGCTCAAAGTGTTTTTTTTTTATTTCATTGTTTTTAATTTTCATTTGGCGTTTTGTCTATTTGCAGGAGCGCGGCGAGACGCTGAAGCGCACCTCGATTATGCCCGATGATAGCTGCTATCGCAACAACAGCAACAACAGCAACAACAACAACAGCAACAGCAACAAGAGCCACAATAATAATGGTAACAATATTGCCAACAACGGAAGCAATCGCATGTCGCTGCTTAACGGCAACAACAACAAAAACAACAGCAGCAGCAGCAACAACAACAACAATAACAACGTGAATGGCACGCCGGAATTGCCGCCGCCGGTAAGTAATTGCGCCTAGGGCCATAAATTGCAATACAAATTTGCTGCCAGCTGCGCAAATCGCAGCTACTTAGTTAGAGCGAGATGGAGAGAGAGCGAGAGAGTGTGAAGCTTTCAGCGAATGCAATTAAACGCGCACAGGCAAAGGCTGCGAACCGGCTCCAGTTCATTTGCTTTTGTTTATTGTGAACCAAAAAAGAGGAACCGGCAAACAAAAAATGTGGTTCGGTTCAGAGATGTCAACTGTTGAGCGCAAAGCCAGATATTTGGTAATTGTGAAAGAGAACTGTGTTATTCTCAGAAGGAACTAAGAGTTTTAGAAATGGGCATTTTCAAAGAGATGTCTGCTTAAGGCAGCTGTTCGTTCGTAGAGATTTTACTGTACATTCGCATGCTGTTCATATGTATATTCTTCTGATATCTGTATATGTGCACAGTCTTAGACTTTAACAGGAGTCAATGTCAACCATGTGGCGATTCATAAATTAAATTTATTTTTATTTCTTGATCATTTGAGGCATTTCTATCTGTAAATCCTTAATTTTGAAAATTATATATTTATAATTTGTACAATTGATAAGCACAACTTTGTATCTGGTTTTTTTTTTTACATGCTGGCAACATTTTCTGGAATTTCTGGAATGTTCTAAATTCTGCCAGATCTAATTTTCGAGTGAACCCTTTGCCGCTTATTGCTCGCTCTGCCTGTGTGTAGTCCAAAGTCGAAAGCTCTTAAAACTCTATTAAAGGCTTTTCAACTCACGAGTTACAACTTATCTCAATTTGCCTTTATATTTTTGTTTGCTTTATTTTAAAATTTTACTGTTTTTATGGAAACAACTTTAATTAAAGTTAACGTGATAATTTACAATACAACTTATTCTATGATTCGATGAGACCTCCGCATAATCCTCCGCATTCGGACTCCCCCAATTCAATGATAGCCAGACGATTTGGATGATTTCCAAGCCGCGTAATATATGTAGTTCGCAGCCTGTATGTTTAGAATGTCCCTGACTTTGGGCACGCATAGGTCTCCTTCCAAATCGGAAGTATCTCCAATTGCTGCCAACGACAAAATCAAATTGCATTTACATTTTTTTTATGGTTGGCCACACTCATTTTCAGCCGTTTTCCGCTAGCTCCTTCTGCTGCCTGCCTGCTTCTTTTATTTGTGGCCGTTGTTCTTTTTGTATTATTCGACTACAGGGTATTTTGTAGTCGACTAGATCACACTCAAATTGAATAGACCGATTTTGGCCACGCTGGCAACTCTGCGTATACATGATATCTAGCTCACACTCTGCCAGCTCTATTTATATATTTACTTATCTTTTTTTTTATGTCATTCTCGCTCATTCTTCCCCTCCCCTCTCTCAGCCGCCGCAGTTTGCCAATCCCCAACAACAGCAGGCGCAACAGCAGCAGCAGCAGCAGCAGCAGCTCAAGCTGAACATTGCCAATGGCAATGGTCAGCAGTTGGCCGCCAGGAGCAAGCAGCTGACGTCTCCCTTGTCGCCCGTGCGCAGTCCCAGCATCAATGTGGGCGGCATTCGAGCGCCAGCCACGCCCCAGCCGGACTACGAGGCAGCCAGCGTGCAGCTGCGCAGCAATGGACAGCCAGCAGCAGCGGCACCAACAACAACAAATGGCAGTCAGCAGCTGCAGCAGCAGCAGCAGCGACTCACGCTGCGGCATGGAGCGGTGACCATTGGCGAGTACGGGGAGCAGCGGGGCAAGCGTGAGACGCTGCGCAAGATGCCATCGAATGCGAATGCGAATGCGATTGCAAATGGCAACGGCGCCGGCGTCCAGACGAATGGCATACTCAAGAATGGCAGCCGCAGCAGCAACAGCTTCGGCAGCAGCAGCAGCAGCAGCAACAACAACAACAACGGCAGCGGCAGCGGCAGCAACAACAATGGCCGCCAGCAGATGCAGCAGCCGGAGAAGTCCATTAAATTTGGCAACTGACTGTGGGCGGCAAATTAGCTGTAAAACATTTGTGCAATATGTTTATGGTAGGCGTGGCCGCCACCTGCCCACATGCTAAGTACAAAGACACATCAGGCGGAGCGGTTGATTTTACATTAATATATATATATATACTTTTTTTTAAACTACACTAAAGATAATTTTTTTTTTTTATATACATATATACAATATTATATACATATATTTGTTGAATATTTGTTAATATTATTTAACAATTGAATGCTTAGCTGCTATTATTTAATGTACGTAATTACTATACTTAAACTATACGCCCACACCTACGTATAGATACAATATACATATATAAATAACGATTTGTAATAAAAGCCGAAAGCAAACAGACAAAAAAAAAAAAGAATCAACAAAAAACAATTCTTTGATAAGCTGTGAAAATATTTAGCCGCTTGCGTCAGCTACCAAAGAGCGTCGTGACGCTGAGCGCAATCATTAGACACAGCCTGACAAGCCCAGAAAAAATTGTCACATTCTTTAATTTAGCCAGAAATTGCGAACAACTGCCAATGTTTTTATCTATGTATTTTATCCGGGCACATTAATTTATAACGTTCGATAGGCAATCGATTGCGTTCAGTTGGTGCCATCAGCACGAGTTTAACGAAACTTTCGATTTCGCATCGAATTGCATGCAGTCCCCAAAAGCTAACAGCGTACGTGCAGGCAAAAGATTGCTGCGTACATTGCATACTTTTGGGATTTGGGCAAATAACGTAATCTGCAAATTTTGGCGAAACCTCTTACATGGCGTGACGTCATGGTTTTGATCGTTGCGATACGTGCGTGTCGCTTATCCTTCACGCACTCCTCATTAAGCTGTGCATGTGTGCGTTTTTGGTATTACGTATACGCAATATTTGTCAGTTCTTTTTTTTTTTTTTTGCGCACAATTTAAAAAATAAATGTAGCTCACTGAATTTTGTCAAAACATTAGCAATGATTATCTAAAATTGTAAACTACATTTCTAAATTAAGTATGTATATTATAAATCTATACACATATGACAGCTAGCTGTAAATCAATATCAAAATGTATTTAATACATTACAAATAAATTATTGTGTGTGTGACGTCATGCGCACTCCAGCGCACTAGCGTAATCTGTTGAGTGCGCGCAGCGCAGCCGGCAAAAGTAACGGAACCAAATACAACTGCCAAATGTGTGAGGACCCTGCGAACGCCAAAGAACACTTGAGCAGCAACAATGCGTGATAGAGAGAGATGCCATGCTTCGTTCTAGTATTTACATATCTGATTTCAGGTGTCTGCTTTTAATTTGTCGGAGCATGCGCTCATTCAATAGGCGCAAGCGAGATGGCAGCTATGCTTCGCATTTGCCTTTAGCATGACAAGTTGCCTAAAGGGACCAGCGTTGCCAGCTATTTGAGTAAGCATCGCAAAGAGTTACGCACTTTGCGAGTCCTTTGCCAACACTGGGGACGCCAACAAATCGTTTTGAAATTCAAGTTAACAAAGTTGGCCGTGATATTTGAAGCTGTTTGACTTGCAATCTGGCATTCAAACGGCAAGGAGCATTCGAGCAGACCTAAACCAACAAAAATCAATTTACCGCAATATTGAAAACCAGAAGAAGAAAAGCACCTGGAGCCGGGCCTTCTCATTCGATTTTAAGTAATAATCAGAGTAAGCCCGCGACATCTCAGTGCAGTTCCTTGGAATATTAACCTAAAAGACAAAGAAAACATGTCAGACCGACCCTCGCGCGCAGATGTCCTCAAGCTAAGCCTGGGTAAGCTGTACCATACTCGAAAATCTCTCTATAGATTATAGTCCTGCCCCTACCCCAACGCCACAGATGAGTACATTCATCTCTATGTGCACACCGATCACAAGGACAAGCTCTACGGCAGACGGGGCCCGTATCCAAGTCAGGCCCAACAGCGGCGCCGGTACGAGCACTCCCATTACTTTGCGCCGGCCTATCAGCGCCAGCAGCAGCAGCAACAGCAGCAACAGCAGCAGCAACAACAGCAGCAACAACAGCAGCGGTTGCTGCAGCAGCGAGAGGAGCAATTGCGTGCACAGCAGCAGGAACGCTTGAAGCTGCAGCTGGAGCAGCAGCTGCGCTTGCAGCAGCAGCAGGAACAGCTGAATGCGGCGGAGCAGCTGCAGGGTCAGCAGCAGCAGCGCATGAACGAGACGCTGGAGACGCTGTGCATCAGCCAGGATTGCATCAGCCAGCTGCGCCAGGAGCAGCAGTGTCTGCAGCAGCAGAGCCTTGAGGAGATGCGCCTGCTGCAGCAGCGGCTGCGCCAGCAGCGGCAGCAGGGCGTGGAGGAGATGCGCCTGCTCCAGCAGCGCCATCGCCAGCAGCGCATGGCCCTCCAGCAGCGCATCGATGACGAGGAGCGCACCGATCGCCAGCGGCGCCTGGATCAGCATCATATCCTACAATTGCGCACCCTGCAGCAGCATCGGCGCGAGCAGAAGCAGCTGCAAACCCAGCAGCAACAGCAGCGCATCCAGCAGCTGCTCCACAAGCAGGAGCAGCGCCGCCAGGCCATGGGCGTCAACAACTATAAAATGCTGTTGAAACTGGCGTCCGATATGTCCACAGCGGCCACTCGGACCCAGCCCAAGGAGGAGGCCAAACCCGCCCAAGGCCTGCTGATGCCGCCCCGTTTTGTGGTGTCGGAGCTGCCCAGCTGGTATATACCGCCCAAGCTGGAGTACGCCGGCGTTCAGGTCAAGAAGGAAGAGCCGACGAGTGAGAAGAAGATGCGCCTGTCCTCCGTCCAGGAGTCCGTCAATCTCAGCAGCGATCTGCTCCTTGACAGAGCCGGAGTCACCATCAAGAAGAAGGTTAAATTCGATCTGAAGGAGGAGTACGTGACGAACGGCATCTCCACCGAGGAGGTCATTGCCGAGATTGAGGATCAGATGAAGGAGGAAATCGAACTGGAGGACGACATCAACAGCGATATGCTCTATATACCCACCAACTTTTCGTTAAGCGAATGATTGAATACCCTGCACATCATCAGATGCCAAAAAGGAATCAGAGGAAAAACTCAATGAAAGCAACGAATAATTTGATACACTAACCAAATGACCAAAAAACAAAAGGCAAACTAAAGAAATACGGCACTCAAGGAAAGCCGAATAACGTGATACACTGCACCAAAAGAATACACTACAAAAAATTATAACAGAATATCAAGAAAATGCGAAATAACGAATACTTAAATACACTACAAATACCACGCAAATACAAAGTGCGACTGATGTGAAACATAACGAATTTTTAATGCACTAACCTCAAGCAAGAAATGAGAGAATTCCCGAATATAACGAATATCTTAACACACTACAGGAAAAAAAAGAGATAACGTGAATAGTACGAATATTAAAACACACTACACACAAGCGAAGAGAAATGATTTATGATTGAAACGAATATTTAAATACACTACAGACAAGCAAAAAATGAGAGACTTTTTGAAGAATGCCAATATTTTTATACACTAAACTAAAAAAAAAATGAAAAAAAACTATATATGTGAATAACCCGAATATTTAAATACACTACACACAAGCAAACTCTAAAAGGGAGAAACATGCGATAAAATGCGAATATTTTGATACACTACTCAAAAAAAAAATACTCAAAAATACCAAATATTTTAATACACTGAAAAAAATGGTGCAAAAACGCACAAAGAAAACACAATTCAAAATAAAATAATAACAAGAAATTCAATTATGGCACATACAAGATGTTTGTTTAACAACCAATTGATCAAAATGTCTGTTCGCTCGTTGCATGCAACATCGTGTTGCACAACAGGCCAGACAACAACCGGCGGACACATGGCAAACCGGGACCAACTGGCAAATCTCGTTCCAGCCTTCCAGCCAATCGATCTGACCAATTGACCAACTCGACGCAATGCTGCCTTTGCCACAGCTTGCAGCTTGCAGCTTGCGTCTCAGCTGCGGCAATTGGTCAACATTAAGACTCGAATACTCGAATTTATAATGATTATGTGATACAAATTATACAAGTAATATGATTGACTTTTAATGTGATAGCAAGCAATGTTTATACCTAAAATTTACAAGAAAATAAATGATTTTTTCTATTTAAGAAAAACTGAAATCAAAAGTTTTCCAAAATCCTATCTTTAAAGTCTGGCAACTCCTTTGTTTGTTCAGAGTTTTCAATTGGAAATTGGATAATATCAAAAGCAATATTTAGAATAATATAAATTTATATACAATAAACGATTTTTTTCTTTTCTTTATGAATACCCGAAATCAAAAGATTAAATAGATCATATCCTGAAAGTCGGGAAAATCATTTGTATATAAAGAGTTTTCAATTGGAAATTGGATAATATCAAATATTTAGAATAATTTAAATTTACAATAATATAGATGTTTTCTTCTTTTTAAAAAGACCATTAAGAAATTTATTTAAATCCAAACCCAAAAGTCTAGGAACTTAATTAAAAATGGATCTTGGAAAATTTGAAAATTTTTGTCCTTTGAGAAAGTTTTACATATTCCGTTTTTTAAACACTTTCGACTTTGGAATTCAGGATTCAAACCGTTTCATTTAGGAGTAGCTAGTATTATTTCCTGAACCCATTTAAAATATGCTAAAAAGACTTTTTCTCTTTGTGAAAATGTGTGTAGCAGGCAGAGGGAAGCATTTTTATAAGGCACATACATATATGCTAAGTATATATCAAGACGACGGGCTGATTTGTTCTAGCCCCGACAACTGTACGTATATCTGCATAAAAGCATCAAAGCTCGGAAGCTATGAGATCCACAATCAAGAAATTTAAGATATATGTATATGTTACTCTATCATAGGCAAAGCAAGTTTTTCAAATTTCTTAGCGATATCTTCTTCAATTTCCATAATATCGACAAAAATAATGATTTCGATATGATGCATCTATCTACTTATAAAAGAATATTTGAATTTTTTTATATATGTATATTCTCACTCGCCTCTAAATTCCAAATCCCTGACATTTAACGCATTTTAGTATTCGCAGCCTTGCCCTTTGGTATATACACACTTTTTCATGCCATATTTTAGTTTTGAAATTTTCAAATAGATCGGACTATAAACACCGAAGTTAACGAAAGGCAATTTCCCATGCATGGGGAAGCAGCACAGCGCAGTCGCAGCCTAAGCTGTGTGTCTTTTGTGTATTGTTTACTTTTATCATTATTGTTTTATGATGATATCAATAGTCATCTGTTATTATTATTATTATTATGATTATGATTATGAATCGTGTTGCTTTTATTATTGTAATTAGATTTACATTTTTACAGCTGTCAGCAAGTTTTATTATTTAAATTAAGTTTAGTCTCAGTCTGTTTGCCGCGCTGAACCTTTAATGAACCTCTCCTCTGACTGTCTGCCCGCTTGTCTGACTCTCTGTCTGACTGTCTGTCTCTCTTCCTCTCTGTCTGTTTGTTTTACTGTCTGTCAGTGTGTCTGCCTGCCTGACTCTCCGTCTGTCTGTCCGTTTGTGTATATCTGTCTGCCTTTCCTACCTGTCTGTCTGTCTGTCTGTCTGTCTCTCTCTCCGTCTGCCTGTCATAGTCTTTATGTCTTAATGAGGTGTCACCTTTCGCCCGTGAGTGCACTGTCGAAGCTAACCAACTGCAAATTTATAGTCCATAGCTGAATGTGCCTACACACACACACACACACACACTGCATGTGTGTGTTAGGTTCAGGTTAAAGCAAATCATAAAAAAGGTAAGCAAAAAGCAAAAAAAAACGTCAAAAAATAAATAAAAAGAAAAAAAACAAAACAAAGCGTTGCGCAGACGCGTTGCCTCAGTCGATTTTTGGAGCTCGCCGCGCGCAGACCAAGTCCGAACGCAGCTCCGTCCAGAGGCTAGATTTCGCCCGTTCCGGATTTCGTTTTCAACCGAATTACGCTTTTGCTTTCGTTTCGTAAGCGGCATTTCGCAAGCTCTTCTTCTTCTTCTTGTTGCTGTTGATCATGTTGAAGCTGAATTTGTTGCTGCTGCTGCTGCTGCCGCTGCTGCAGCTGACGCTGGGCACGCCCATAGCGCCCACCACACTGGATGGCGCCACGCCCATCGATGCAGAAGTCTCCGCAGCGGATTTCGGTGCACTCGACGCCTTTGCCGAAGATGCGGCCGAGAGCTCAGCGACGGCAGCCAGCGAGTCGGGCTTTAAGGTGCGCAACACGCGAGTACAGTGAACACCAGCTAACATACCATATCATTCCGTATTCAAACAGATCGCGCTGCTGCCCATGCCGGCCAAGACAGCGGAGTCCGTGAATCTGGAGCATGAGGCGCTGCCCTCCAAGGTGCTCACCGCCTACGACAAGACGCACCAGAAGCTGGCGGACATAACGCACGTGAGTGGCCATATTAAGTGCTGATCACTGATCACTCACTCAATCAGATTAATGATATTAGATTACCGATTACTGATCACTGATCACTGATTACTGAATACTGATGACTGATCACTGATAACTGATGACTGATGACTGATAACTGATGACTGATAACTGATGACTGATTACTGATTGCTGATCTCTGATTACTGATTACTGATTACTGATTACTGATTACTTATTAATGATTACTGATTACTGATCACTGATGACTAATGACTAATGACTGATAACTGATGACTAATGACTGATGACTGATGACTGATAACTGATGACTGATGACTGATGACTGATGACTGATGACTGATAACTGATAACTGATAACTGATAACTGATAACTGATAACTGATAACTGATTACTGATTACTGAATACTAATTACTGATTACTGATTACTGATTACTGATCACTGATCACTGATCACTGATCACTGATCACTGATCACTGATCACTGATTACTGATTACTGATTACTGATTACTGATTACTGATTACTGATTGCTGATCTCTGATTACTGATTACTGATTTCTGATTACTTATTAATGATTACTGATTACTGATTACTGATCACTGATCACTGATGACTGATGACTGATAACTGATGACTGATGACTAATGACTAATGACTGATGACTGATGACTGATGACTGATGACTGATGACTGATGACTGATGACTGATAACTGATTACTGATTACTGATTACTGATTACTGATTACTGATTACTGATAACTGATTACTGATTACTGATTACTGATCACTGATGACTGATCACTGATTACTGATTACTGATTACTGATCACGGATTACTGATCACTGATCATCTCTGTTCTCTTGCAGCCTGTGCCCATCTTGGATGGCATCAGCGAGCATGAGAAATATGGCAACAATGGCGACAAGTTCGACGGCATCTCGCGCTCAATTGTCAACGGTTACGAGGCGTTTTCCAATCTGCTCAACAGCTTTATACAGGTAAGTCTCCCCCCCCCCCCCCCCCTCCCTCTCTCTTGTGTTCGTGCTGTGTTCGCTTGCGCTGCTTGTTCACACTTTGCATTGCACAAGAGACGCTCGCCTCGCCTCGCGCCGCTCCGCCCCGCCTCCGGCCCGCCCCAACGCTCTGCACATTTAAAGCGCCTTATGTAACATCCGACCGAAGGTCGAACCTTAAGCAAATAGTCCAAAAAATATTTAATTACTTTTTCAAATACGCATTTGGTTGCACATAATTAAATAGCATTTGTTTCTGGGCTAAATAGATATTATTTGGCTTATTTTGAATACTTTTTAAACGTTTGACATCCATGAACATTATTTTCAAGATATTTTTTAATATATAAAATTTTTTAGATGATCGATAAATATCGATTTTGAATTAGGCGTTTTAAAGCACAGCTCGAAAAATATAAGAGCTAAATGTACCAAATGTTTTATATAGTGTATACGGATAAAGAGCATTTGACTTTTTGAAAACATTCCCCATTATCCCAAAAACAAAGCAAAGTCGTTTCTAGCCGACATTTCCTGATCTACTACCATTGTAGATCCTAGCTTAGTTGATGGATAGTTCAAATTGATTTATTCATTATTTAGAAAGATTCTTGATCTGTATATGATAATCTAAAAGCTAGAACTCTAGCTCTTAAAACCTAAGAGATTTTCCATATCGATTTCTTATCGATTGTTTGGCAACGCGGCAAGTTATCGACTATCGGAAACAAAAAACTCGCACTCAAGTCTTGCAAGTCTCTAGCCCTTGTAGGTTTTGAGATCGATGAGTTCATACAAATACGGACAGGCGGACGGATGGACGGACATGACGAGATCGACTCGGCTTTTGAAGCTGACCGAGTAAATATATACTTTATGGGGTCGGAGATGAATCCTTCTGTCTGCCACATACACTTGCACAAAAAAAGAAGTCCGCACACCTTTTGTATGCCGTTTTAAAGCCCTGAATAGTTCATAAAGATCGGACCAAAAGCACCGAATTCATTCAAGGCTGGCTATTCACATACTTAGTTCGGGGCTAAGGGAAGAAGCAACGCAGTTGGCGGCGAGCGTGTGTGTTTATTTTTTGTGTGCAGGGCATCTGCTAGTCAGGCATTCTCGACTTAGGCACACTTGCTCTTACTTGAATATTGTAGCTAATGCCGAACTGCATAGTTCCTTATGGATCCCAGTCTTAACACGCACACCAGTTTTGTTGATCTAGCTGCCCTTGTTAATATGGACAAGATTAGGTTGTGTTTGATTTGGGCATAGGGTGTCATTCATATTTTTCTTCATAGTCGAACACAACAAACAAATTCTTTCCAAAATAGAGAAACTGTATTAGAAACTATTCCATGGTATACCCAGGCGAATAAGACATAGTACGTTAGAATGTATCCGTATGGTATGGCAAATCATGTGACAAGTCGGGAGGATATTATTGGACTGGACTGGAGGAACTCATCCTCATATACGAGGCCGAGGGACTGTGAAATTGTTGTGCCGCCAATAGACATGTCCTATGTAGGCGAGACGAACAACGAGAAATCCAATCATCCGGCCCTTGGCAAAATCAAAAGCCCCAAGATAGTGAACAAAGCAAAAAAGTCGCACAAGCTAGAGGTCAACGAGAAAGTTGTGAAGAAAGACAAGAAGAAGGTCAAGTCTGTTCTAGTTTCCTGTCATCTATAACTCCTCTAAAAAAAAGCAACCTTTAACATCTACAGTCCATGAAACTGAGCACTAAACTACCCAAGGTTGCTCTGGTCAAGGTCACGCCAAGGGTACTGGCCAGACAGTCCGCCGAACTTGAACTACATGGGCCAGCTAACACTCGACAAATTGCGGATTATCTATTAGACAATCGACTAACTGTGAACAATGGCAGCCTGCAGCTGGCGGCACCCATGGAGGAACCCACCGGCGAGTGCCATTGCGCCGATAGACTCGGGCTCTTGGCTCGGCTGATAACATCGCGACACGATCCGATATATTCCGGTAGAATGTCACCCACCTTGAAGTATCTGAGCGATATTATGCAAGAGCTGTTGTCCGTTCTGAGTCTATTATTTGTGATGGGCTTGCTTTTGGCCTGTTATCTGTGCACTAAGCCACGGGAACTCTCGTTCCTGCAGCGGCTGATGCGAAAACTATCTGTATTGTTTGCAACCGATTCCTGTTACGATTGTGGTTTATGTTAGGAATTCCTCTTAATTTTGATCAACCAATTAAAAATTCGAAAAGAAAGTATAGCATCACAATTATTCCAAGAAATATAATATATTCGAGCCTTAGCCCGAGACCTTGGTATAGAAATCCATTCCAATTTGGATTATAACCTGATTCAAATACCCCCCACACTTAACTTCTATTACCAAACTCAGGCATTTAAGATCATGATTTGTTTTATTATTATTATTAGTGTTTGATGACAAATTGGTGGTCCCTCGACTTTCCGACTACCCCATGGTCCTTTAGCTGCACTGCCACCAGCTTTCCCGGCTCCACGTACGCTGCCTCCCCTGCTTCCTGTTGCTCTCCGAGACTATTTGGGATGCACTCCCTCACTGGTGTCACTTTCTCCACCTACTTCAACAGCTCCTTATGCTCCTACTCCGACTCCAGCGACGATTCCTCGCTCAACTCGAGCTCGCTGCCTCCGGCAGGCCCTACCATCCACTTCTCCAGGTTTTGAACCTGGAGATTCTCCTCATCCGACTCCAGCGACGAATCTTCACCCAGCGCAAGCTTTTCCCGTTTCCTATGCACTAGCTTTTTAGACTCGAGATGCTCTTCTTCCGAGGAGTCCTCGCTTAGCGCAAGTTCTTCTACCTGTTTGAGGACCGGATATTTTATCTCCCGCCGCTCCAGTTTTGGCTCCATTTCCTCTTCCGACGAGTCCTCGCTCCGCGCAAGCTCCTTTATCTGTGCGTCTTCCATTATGTCTTGATTCTTCACCAGCTTGAACTGCTCTTCCGTAGAGTCTTTGATCGGCGCGACCTCTTTTATCCGATGCGCTTTTTCAACCTCCTGCTTCTTTACCAATTTTTGCTGCTCGATATTCTTCGAGTCTCCACCCAACGCGAGTTTCTCTATCTGCCTGTTCTCTACTAGCGTTTGTGTCTCGTTCTGCTCATTCTCCGAGTCCTCACTCCACGCGAGCTGTTTCTCTTCCGACGAGTCTGACGAATCCTCCGACGAGTCTTTACTCAACGCGAGATCCTTTCCCTTTTTCAGATCTAGATAGTTTATGTTCCGCCTTTTCTCTACTAGATTTTGTTGCTCCTCCTCTGACGATTCTTCACTTAGCACTGTCCTGTCCTGCCTCAGATCCGGATAATTTATCTCTTGCAGCTTTTGGTGCTTTAGCTGCTTCTCCGAAGATTCCTTACTTAACTCTAGCTCTTTTATCCTTGCTACTCTATGAACCATCCGCTTCGCCTGCTTTTGCTGTTTAAGCTGTTTCTTTGACAAGTCTACACTCAACTTGAGCTCATTTATCTGTCCAAGATCCATTATCTCCTGCCGCTTCTCTGTTAAATTTTGCAGCGCGATCTGCTGGTCCGCCGAGTCCTCGCTCAACGCGAGCTCCTTTACCTGGTCCTGCTCTTCCAATTTCTGTGTCTCGAGCAGTTCCTCCTCGGACGAGTCTTCACTCGGAACGAGTTTCTTTACCGGTGGCATTTCTCCGACCACTTTTTGCTGCTTCTCCGACGAATTGTTACCTAACGCAAACTCCTTAACCCGTGGCACTTTCTTAACTATCTGCCTCTTACGTTTTTTGTGAAGTTTCGAAGGACCTTTAATCAACACAAGCTGCTTCTCTTCTGTCAGCTTTCCTGGCTCCTCCTCTGACGAGTCCTCGCTCAGCACAAGCTCTTTTACTCGATTCAGACCCAGACAATTGATCTCCTGCCTCTTCCCTCGATTTTGCTGATCGATCTGCTCCTCCGCCAATGAGTCCTTACTCAGCGGAAGTCTGCTTGTCTCTTCCGAATCTGGATAATGCTTATCCGACGAATTGCTCACTTCTGCAGCATTCTCAACCTTCCGTTTCTTGAGCTGCTCTTCCGACGAGTCCGTACCCAACGCGTGCTCCTTTACTCGTGGCACTTTGTCAAGCTTTTTCTTCTTCCGCTTTTGCTGCTTCTCCAAAGAATTACCCAAGTCTTTTGTCCTTGGCACTTTCTCAACCTTCTGCTTCACCAGCTTGAGCTGTTCCTTCGACGAATCCTTACCGAATACGAATTCTTTGGGTAATTCCTCAACCGTTTGCTTCTTGATCAGCTTTTGCTGCTGAAGCTGTTTCTCCGATGAGTCTTCACTTAAACCGAGCTCCTTTATCTCTTGAAGACCTATTATCTCCTGCCTCTTCTCCGATGGATGTTGATGCTCGAATTGTTCCTCCTCCGACGAGTCTACGCTCATCCCGTACTCCTTTTCTTGTTTCAAATCCGGATAAATGATCTCCTGCCTTTTCTCCAAATAATCTTCATTGGACCCATACTCTTTTACTACTGGAACTTTGTCGTCAACCTTCCGGTTAACTAACTTTTGCTGCTCGAGCTGCTCCTCCTCCGACGAGTCGTCGCTCAATGCGAGGAGCTCCTCTATCCGTGGCACTTCAACTTTTCGCTTCTTCACCAGCTTTTGTTGCTCCTCAGGACTCCGTTTCTTAAACTCTAGCACGGGCTGTTGTTCGAGCTTCAGGTCCTCCGACTCCCGCGACGGGTCCTTCCTGAACGCCAGCTCCTTAACGAGTCCCAGCTTTGTGTCCTGCTGCTTCTTCGATAGCTCCTGCATCTTCCGCTGCCGCCCCTGCACGAGCTGCTGCCTCCCCAATTGCTGCTCCTGCTCCTGTTGCATTCGCAGCCGCTTCCTGGCCTGTATGTCAGCCAAAGTCTGCTCAATGGAACGGTTGTCCCTCTTGAACCGGCTGGGCACAAAACCATAACTATGATTGGTGGACGTCTCGCGTACCGATTGCAGAGTAGATGGTTCGGCAATGAGATGAGCATACTTGGCCCGATAGCTGACAACTGGTTTGTTTGCGGGATTGGAATTTGCGATGTGATCCCTGGCGCTGGGCGTGGAACCGGAGGATTTGAAGGTAGCTTGCATTCTGTTGATGGTGGATGATTCAGGTGGGGCAGCAGTTGCTAGAGCTGGAGCAATTGCTGGGGTAAGTGCATCAGCTGGAATAGCAGCAGTTGCAGCAGCTGAGGCTTGCTTCTCGCTCTTCTCCTGCTCCTGCTTGGATCGATCCTTGCGTCGCTCCGCATACTGCCTGGCGATCTCCTTGTTCCAGCCTTCACCTTTGCGACGGGCAAACAACTCGTCAGCGTCGGGCGGATGTTCTTTCTTGTAGACGACAGACTGTCTTATATCCTCGCCCCGACCAAAGCTCATCGCCATAAAACCACCATATTCAGCCGCTTCCTGTATGATGGTTCGATGAATTCGGTCAAAGGGCTGGAACTCTATGCTGGTTCGACCGTCCTTGGCAAAGCGTCCCATGCGCTCCTGCACATAGCTGCGGAAACGTGCCAGCTCCTCGCGCTGTTTGTTCTTCATGCGCTCCATGTACTCGCGCTGCTTTTGCTGCTCACCTGTGTTTTTTTCGTTGATAATTGAATCACGGACTACATTTGCCGCTCACCTGTGTTGGGGGGCGCGTCCATTGCGTTAAGAATTGAATCGAGAAAATCCATTTTTATTCCGAAATATCCCCTTTTATTCAATCTTTCTTTTACGAAAGTTTTCTTTTATTCGAACTTTTTACCTTGCGAAAGTTTTCGTTGTTTCAACACTTTTTAGGAAAGTTTCCTTCTTTTTTGTTAACTTTTTGATTTTTTGGTTTTACTTTGTTGAGACTCGGAACACAAGTGAATCAAATTGTTTGTGTTGAGTTCCGAGCTCCAGAATTTCGACATCCATAATTTTCAAGGCTGTAGCGATCCCAAGAACTGAGTGTTGAGTTTTCTGTGAGGGAAGCTTCTCAAGAGCGCGTTCGCTTCTCTGGCTTGGTATCAGTTCTCATCCAATTTGGAATATAACAATTCTATTTTTGTTCATTTTAGGCAACACTCTACGAAATGACTTCTTTAAATAAACAAGCATTAAATGGCCTTTTTTTTATGGTATTCTCAGCAAGGAAGCAAGTTTTCTTTGAACCAAACGGGTTTGAAACTGCAATTTTTTTTCATTTTAGGCAACACTTGGAAATAGCCCAGCTACAAATGTAGCTAAAGGCAATTTTTATATTAAATTAAGCATAGAACAGCTTCTTCGATGGCTTTCACAACAAGGCTGCAAGCTTTCTCCAAACCAAACGGGTTTGAACCAGCAATTTCTTTTTGTTTTAATTGTTAATCGAGTGTGGTGTTAAGAGAACAACCAAACTTAAGCCCCAGTCTGAGATAGAAGACATATGTATATTCATGTAATATCCATCGATTTTATTATCAAAATTTGTATAATGATTTATGTTTATATTTTCTAAAAGACAAGTAAGACCAGGTCGCGCTCTACACGCTCGTTGCAGTAATAAAAATAAATTTCAAATACATTTAAAAAAAGCAATAGTTGCCTCGCTAGGACTCGAACACGCAACAGACCAGAATTGGTTCTAATTTGTCGTAATCACCTTAAGACCAGATATACATATATAACAAATATGCTCTTCTTTTTATACCCTTTCCCCACAGAAACCCAAGGAGCTGGCGCGCAGCGTCTCAAAGGGCATCACCGCACAGCTGGACATTATTGGAGGCAAGCTCGTCGGCCTCTGAAGATACAACAAAATATGTAAAAACTAATCCGAAAGCTTCGAGAATCAAAACAACAAAAATTTGTTCATATTTTTTGGTATTTTTTTTTTTTTGTATAACTTTTATTTAAATAAATAGTTTAATTTATTTTGTAACCTATACACAATTTTTGTAATTGTTATTTTTGTCTAGGAATGTGCTTGATAAACGTATAACTTTATATATATGTATATATATATATATATATATTGTTTTTTTTTTTAGTTTAGCTTATTTCATTTTTGATTGCATTGCGGGCAGTTGTTGTTGTCGTTTGTCTTCTTCCAATACTTAATTGCCGTGCAATAACATACAGGTTAGATATGGTATATAAATATATATAGCTTTCGATGTCTAAATACCAAACATTTGGTATTTTTCGGACCAAATTTTAGCTGTTAGTGTGTAGCTGACATTTGTGTAGATATTGATCAAAAAATGTATATATATAGATCTATGTATAAACTAGATGAGCACATCACAATATGGATATACTGCTAACTAATCGATTAGAAGCCCGCAAAGCTGACTTCACAAAAATACCACTAAATACTGCAGGAAAGCAAGCAAGCAAGCAACAAAAAAAAACAAAAAAAAATACTAAACTTGTGTGAACTCAGCTTTGGGCTTAGATATGTTACGAGCATTATTCGCCTTAGCACTTTTCTAATAATACAAAGTTCAGAAGAAAATAAACGAAGATATTTAAATTAATTTTTGGCACATTTCGCAGAAGGGCAACAAAAATAATACTAACAAAAAATGAGTGAGGGAGTGGGTGGGGGGGGGGGGGGGGTAATAATATTTGCAATAGCCTGTGTCTCGGCGCCTTGCTTTAGAAATTCTCCGCGTGTTGCGGAGGATCGGATCAATCTAGAGATGAGTTCAATCCTCCCAGCTGCTGGTGCGCGTCTGCGGATCAATCGATGGCGAGTACGACTTGTACGTGTCGGAGACCTTCTTGTGCTTCACCGTGCAGAACAACAGCATCGAGGTAATCAGCCCGAAGAGCTGGACAAACGCAATGCCCAGTCCGATGGCGCCGATCACATTTAGCTGGCCATTGAACCAACTATGCAGCGAATGGGCGCAGCCCTTGTCCCACCACAATGTGGGATTCTCGGATCTGCCGCAATCCACGCGCATCACCCCATCCCCGGAGCCCTCGGTCATCAGCTGGCGCTGATCGTACAGCTGGCGGCAGCAGGAGTCCGGCACCCAACGCTTGCCGCTCCACGACTGTATGTCATACCAGTCCTCGTACGACGACACGCCGCAGCATTCAAACTGTCACAAAAAAAAAGAAGAAGAAAGTAGAACAAAGAACAATTAAGTCAAGCAAGAACCTTGCAGTCGCCAGTAACCGACTGCGCCATACTCTGTGCACAGTATGAAAACGTTTCGAAAACAAAAATTTATATCTTATTTGTGGATTGCCTGCGATATATCTGACATTGTCTTATCCATCTATTATATAATCGCGGAGAAAGACGGAATATTAAATCCCAGCATAGCCTTTTGTTCTTCAACTTACAAATATTCTTAATTTAAGCATGAATCAATCTTGAGCTCAATATTTTCTATGAATTCAACTCTTTATTTAAGCTTGAATCAATCCTGAGATTAATTATTTATATACAACTTATTCTTAATTTAAATATGAATTAATCTTAAGCTTAATCTATTTTAAAATCTTCTTCTTAATTTAAGCATGAATTAATACTCAGCTTAATATTTGCTTATAATCCTATTCCTAATTTAAGTATGAATCAATTTAGAGCTCAATATTTTTTGTAAATGTTATTCTTCATTGAATCAATCTTGAGCTTAATCTTTTCTTAAGCACAAATTATTTTAGGCTTAATAAGTATTATTATGTATCTCATTCTCAATTAAAACATGAATCAATCTTAAGCTCAACCTTTTTTACAAATCTTCCATAGCCTTAAAAGTTTTCTACCAAACAATAATTCAAGGTAAAGAAATATCCGAAATTTCATAATACTGCATTAAGAAGTTCTGGATAGAGAAATAAGTTCTTAAAACAAGAAAATACTTTTAAGACTTCGATATGTTAGTTATTTGGATATATGCCTTATTCGGATTTTGACTAAAAAAAAGACCTTACTTTTATACTAAGTGTGTTTGAGCCAATCTGATAATCCGTCTGACAAATTTCTTGAGTCTAGCTATAAGAATGTGCAAGTTCTAAGCAGGTTGCATCTAACATGAAATAACTGACGAGAATATTACAAAGTTGACCCTAGGTAGCCCTCAGTAACACACACGTAGACAGAACACACACAACCAATATGCCCGTTTTTCACTTACCGACTGCTGCACACTGTCCCAAATGGCTGCCACAGATGGCGCCACCAGCGAGCCCCGATCGCTGGCATTGTAATGGCGCTCGATGCCGAAGCGCAGCTCGTTGGCCAGCGTGCGTCCGAGTCCGCCGCGAAAGAGGAACGCAATGGAGCCCACCAGGAACTCGCTCATGAACAGCATCACAATCAGCATAAAGTACTGGAGCAGTAGGAAAAACCGAGATTGATAAGCTGCCGCAAATTTATCCATGTGGATAAATGCACTTACCAGCACCAGCAGACAGCGGGACTGTACCCAAGCGCCGCAGCAGCCTAAGAAGCTGACCACAAATCCGATGCCGCCGATGCACATGAAGATCGTGTCCGCGCTCAGTCCCGCATTCTGTGGCAGCAGCGTTGCGTAGCCCTCGTAGCTGAGGCGCAGCCACAGGCCGGCTCCAAGGAAGGCGCAGCTGCACAGCTGCAAAAAGTCGAATACAATTTATCGATAACAAAAATCGTTTGAGTTGAGCGAAGCACTGAGAGTTCAAGAGTTCAAGAAAGCAAAGACATAGTGAGAAAGAAAGAGAGAGAGAAAGAGAGAGAGAGAGAGAGAGAGAAAGAGAGGTAGGCAGAAAGAGAGGCGAAGTTGCAATAAGTCAAACACAATTTGTCGATAACAATAATTGTTAGAGTTGAGCAAAGCACAGAGAGTGCAAAACAGCAAGTGTTAGAGAGAGACAGAGAGAGAAGCAGACAAAAGCTGCCTGCTGCTAGTGTTGGTTAACGCAAACTCGATTGTTCGCTCGCTTATCGTTTAACAGTTAATTTTTTCTTATTGACTTTCAATCGGGCAAATCGTTTGGCTTTGAGATAAACACCAACAACTATTGATAATTGTTATTACTCTAATTTATCAAAGAGCAATTTGCGAGCATTTATCTCTAATATTATTTAATACAAGAAGCGAGGGAAGCTTGCAACAAATTTAATTGTTATTACCCGGCATTGCGCGGACCAAGTGTTTTGCCGCAAATTGTCGTTATTTGTTAGTAGATCTACTTTTGTTTTGATAGCCGCACAGATTTGCTGCTTTTGGCCAATTATCTGACTGGCAAACAAGTTTCATTAATTTGTAGCTACAATTTTTCGAGAGCTCCTTACTAAGTGGATTGGTAATAAAAGCTATAGCCAAATACTCATCGCTTTAGCCAGGCAAAGAGTACACATGAGAGCTTTAATAATTGGACGGTAATTATGAAAAAGTAGAAACTAATGTGTGGCCAAATATGCCGAAATGTGGGTCCAAATGGTAGTTAAATATTATAAATAGAATTATATAGTGTTAGGAATTTGCCTTAAAGAGAATATTTTAAGAGAATAAAAATATGTTCGAGTCTAGCCTCTTAATACTTGGTAAAGTCTCTGAGTCCAATATCTAGCAGTTTATATATTTTACAAGCTGTTTAGTCTAGCCTCTTAACACTAAAAATCCAATATTTAACAGGATATACATATATTCTTCTAGCTTTTTAGTCCTAATGCTAAAGACTCCAAGTCCAATATCCAGCATGATATATGTATATTCTGCTAGCTTCTAATTAAAAAGTTTATTTGGAGTGTGAAAAGTATTCAAGCTTAATTCCTCCCAGATGATAACTATCGATAATTAGCTTGAAGATTGCAAGTCTGAGCTGTCCCAGCGATTAAGTTGCTTCGGCGACAAAACGTTAAGTGCACTGCGATTAGCCGCAATCGAGTGCTATCGAAATCTGCTGGCAATTATCGATAAACGATTGCTAATGAATGCGCCTGCCAGGCTGCCAGGTTGCCAGGTTGCACAACAAACGCCTGAGACAGACGCGCAGCGAGACAATGCGGCAACTTTGGCGTTTCCGCTGCAGACGAGGCTGAGAACTTTGTTGCCGGCGTCCATTGTTGTTGTTGTTGTTGCTGGCAGCAGCAACATATCCGCCCAGGGCCGAGCTCTCGGTGCCAGCTGGAAAAAACTCACCCACAGAATGATGTTGAGCCAGCAAAAGGTGCGGCGGATGCATGAGTAGCCGGCGTTGCCCATCTTCTGCTGGGAGCTGCTAGCTGCAAAGAGAGAAACAGAGCGAGTGAGAGAGCGAGAGAGAGAGAGAGAGAGGGAGAGATTGGCATAGAAATATATAAATCACGGCCTAATGGGGATTTAGAATAAAGAGTGTGTGTGTGTGGGGGGCGACAGGCAAGCGACGCGTTGCGCTGCATTCATTAGATACATTTGTATCTATTAAATGCGCGCTTTTTCGGAAATCACACACACACACACACACACAGAAAGCGACCTCATATCGAGTGTGTGTGTGTGTTCTGTGTATAAATAAATTCAAATTCATAAATTTCAACAAATTATTTTTGTTTTTAGTTTTTTCTATTGCATTTCCTTTGGCCTCATGTAACTGGATAAGTGTATCTGTCAGCGGGGCACATTGTATCTGCTGCATTCATGTTAAGCAATTGGCCAGCCGCAAAAAACTGCAGCTCTTGCATATACATAACAGCAGTATGTTTTTTTTTTTTTTTGCTCTTGTTTTTTAGTTTAATAAATTTACGACTTGCGAATAGCAACAACAACAACAACAACACACAGACACAATTATTATGAAATTCTCCAGCAGCTCAAATTACAAGCAGGCCGCCGCATGACGATCGTGCGGGGGCGTGGGGGGAAGGGGGGGTGGTTCGAGAGTACGTGAGTACTTGCTTATATCTGGAAAAGCTATTTACGTACTCGTTTTCTCTCTGGCCGCCGGCCTAGTTTACCCTTAAATGTGACGTAGGTCAGTCGAATCACAGTTGACCCCAACAACAATTGTTTAGCTTTCATTAGATTTACCGTGAGGCTAAGTTAAAGTCGTTAAATTCTAAGCAAAAACGTTAAGCACTAAATTGCCGGACTTTGGCACACCCTGCAGCTGGCATTGGATATATGCGATAAGCACATACTTGCTCTATCAATATAAATAAATATTAATTTATTGCATTTACACGAAATTTGTGCAATGTCCCTGCTCGGGCGCCTGGTAAATCTCGCACATGCGATCTAATGGTTGTGGCAAGCCACAGCAAAGTGTTAAAGTGTGCAAGCAACTTAATTTGAAGATCAAAAATGTAATAATACATATCTATATAGCTACACATATCTAATACATCTTACAAGAAATATTCTCAATGTCCCTGTTCGGGCGCCTGGTAAATGTCGTGCATTGGCAAAACAAATGTCTGCCAGCGATATAAGAAGCACTTTTAGCTCTAGGTTTGTGGAGTTTACCAATATGTGGTTCACATGTTAAGTAAATTAGCGAAAAAGTTGGGATATCTTCGGCATGCCGAAGTTTGAATACCCTTTTAGACATTTGCCTTACGGTTTTGCAGATATGTGAAAATAATGTAGCTCGTAAATGCTAAGTTTGCCATACAAAAACTCATTTATCGATCAATTCTTTCTATAGAGATATATAATAAAGTAATGCGATCTTAATAATATTTGACTCCTACATATATAAGCAGGGTAGCTTAGAAAGTAAATTCTGGGTTTGGTTAAGATATCTTGATACCCAAAATAGGATTCCTATACTCTTGGACCGATGATACCTATGATAACTATATGATATTATGATCTGATCCGGCTGTTCCCGACATATGTTCTACCGGCAACATAAAAAAGGACCTATGTAAGATTTCAAGATGATAGCTTATTAACTAAGAGACAAGTTCGCATAGCAAAAGAGAGAGAGGGACAAAGAGACAGACGAACAGTCGGAAGGACAGATGGACATGGATATATCAAGTCGGATGCTGTTCGAGGATATATATACTTTTAGGAGTGGGAGATGTCTTCTTTGATGCGTTACATACTTCGTGACCAAATTGTAAAACCCTCTACATGGGTATGAAAATATAGAAAATGCGTGTCCCTGCTCGGGCGCCTAGAGCTGCTGTAGACAGAGCAAACACAACAACAGCAACAACAACAACAACTGTAACTGTCGTTTGCTTATTTTCCAATTTAACTCAATAACGCGACATACTTAATGCCGTTTGTGCGCTGTGCCACGCCCACAGCCGCTGCCCACTTGAAATAACACCAGCTGGCTGTGTGTGTGTGATCGTGTGTGTGCGGATGTGCGAGAGTGATTTATGTGCACATTGGGAAATTGCCCATTTGCCCAAATGCCTCTGCTTAGTTCATAGGTCTAAACTGCCAAAGCTAGCGAAGAGTTAGCTAGAAATCTGCCCGAGACAAGGGAATGGGAGAAGGGAATGCTGCTGCTGCTGATATTGCTCATGTTGCTGCTATTCAACTGATCCTTACTAGTCCAAAATGGTATAAAATTCCAAAACCGAACATTATTTGGCCGAGATATTCCAAAAAAATCATAAAAAAGGTTGACATTACAAACATTATACCAATCGATAGTACTGTTCCGTGCGAGTCCAAAATGGTACAAAATTCCAAAATCGAACATTATTTGGCCGAGATATTCCAAAAAAATCATCATAGTCCAAACTTTCTAACTTTAAGCAACCAAGCATTTCGCTTAACAACAAATAAAATGATTTAACTGATCTTATTCAAGTCGAGTCCCTGCTCGGGCGCCTCTTAATTTGTGTGTAAAATTGATGCGATTTCCTATTGGGTAAACTACCTTCCCAGCTCGACTACAGGGCATTTTAATTTGATCTCCACGTCTGTCAAACTCACATGCAACACATGTATGCCACGACCGATGCGGCTTTTGCATGTGAAAGACAAGCTGGAAATATGTTAATTGTGAATATGCTGTGAACACGACGGCGGCATTCAACAGGTTGTCGTTGCAATTTCTTGTACGATTTATGTGCATACACGAGACAAAAAATGTATTTTGGAATAATTACGAAAATCTATTGTTAAGTCTGATGTCTACAAATGCATACATTCACTTAAAGAACCTCTTGACATATTTACTGGCACTCATTTTCATGGATTTCCAAGCGGTTGATAGAATATCCAAAGTTGAGCTAAGTATACAATAGTCAAGAAAGATATATAGAGAGAGAGAGAGAGAGAGAGAGAGAGAGATAGATATAGATACAGAGGAGGTCGGACAAGGGCGCAGCTTTAAATAAAAGGGCGTGGCGGGGGCTGGGTAAGCAAATCAGTGAGCACGCGCCAACAATTGCAGACTGGAAGAAGTTGCAACAAGTGTTGGGGCAAAAGTGTTGCATGCAACAAGAGCAACAGCAACAAGTGGAAGCTGCGATTATAAGCCTAACCCTGATGCTGATAATGATCATAATAATAATGATGTTGTTGCTGCTGGTGTTGTCTTTGCTGTTGTTGCTGCCGCAAGCGTAACTAAAATAATAATGAAATAGTTGCAAATAATGCGCGGCCTGTCCGGGGCCTAGAGCTGCTGTGGACAGAGCCCAAGTGCGAACAATTGTTGTCCGCAAACACAACAACAACAACAACAACAGCAACAACAACAACAACTGTAACTGTCGCTTGCTTATTTTCCAATTTAACTCAATAACGCGACGGACTTAATGCCATTTGGCGCTGGAAATTTGCGATTTACTTGTGCGCTGTGCCACGCCCACAGCCGCTGCCCACTTCAAATAACACTAGCTGGCTGTGTGTGTGTGTGTGTGTGTTTGTGATCGTGTGTGTGCGGATGTGCGAGAGTGATTTATGTGTACATTGGGAAATTGCCCATTTGCCCAAATGCCTCTGCCCAGTTCATAGGTCTAAGCAGCCAAAGCTAGCGAAGGGTTAGCTAGACATCTGCCCGAGACAAGGGGAATGGGAAAAGGGGAAGAGAGGGGGCGAAAAGAGCTGACATACAGATGTGAGCTGTGCCAGCTGCCAGCCTGGGACGATCTGATCTTGCTGCTGCTGATATTGCTCATGTTGCTGCTGTTGCAGGTGTTGCTCTTGGGAAATGCTGTTGTTGCTGTTGTTGCAAAAATTCATAACAGAGGAGCTAGTGGGTAGAGCGTGGTGTCAGGCTTTAGCCAATGTTGCTGTTGTTGTGCTTGTTGCGTCTGCTGTTGCTTCTATTGCAAATGTTGCTGCTGTTGGTAATGTTGCTGTTGTAAATTGGCAAAGAGGCAGGATAGCGAGTATGTAGCAGGGGCGTGCTAAGAAGAGTGTTGCTGATGTTGTCAATGTTGCTGCTGATGTTGCTGTTGTAATGAGGCAAAGCAGTAGGAAAGGGTCTCTGAGTAAGGGGGCTGGTAAGAAGAACAGTTGCTGCTGTTGCTTCAATTTAATGTTATATAATGTTGATGTTGCTGTTGCTGTTCGTGCATTTGTTGTTGTAAAGAGACAAAGGAGGTGAAAAGGGACTTAATGGTAGTCAGGGGATAAGAAGAATAGTTGCTGCTGTTGCTTTAATTGCAAATGTTGCTGCCAATGTTGCTGTTGCTGCATGGACTGTTGCTGCTATTGCTGCTGTTGTTGCTCTTGCAAAAGGGGAATAGGATACTTTTGTTTGTTAAGGCGGAGTGTGAGACCATTGCTGATGTTGCAGGAAGAAGTAGCAGCATTTGTTGAAAGATCCGAACTAGACTAAAACAATTGCTGCTGATGTTGCTATTTCTGCTGCAACTATTGCAAATATTGCTGCTGTGTTTACTCCCTTTATTGCTTATGTTGCTGCTGTTTATGCCGTTGTTATTGCCGCTGCGAAAGCAGGCGAAGCAAGTTCTTGCGAGCGCGGAGCTATCACAATTGCTGTTGATGTTGATGTTAAAGCAACTATTGTAAATATTGCTGCTGTGCTTGTGTTTTCTATTGGATATGTTGCTGCTGTGAAGGGAGAAGTACAGACCGCTTGTGAGCGCGAAACTAAGACAATTGTTGCTGGTGATGCTGTTGCTGTTGCTATTGATGGTGCATCTTTTGCCGATATTGCTGCTGTGATTGTTGATTTTACTGCTTATGTTGCTGCTGTGAAAGGGGAAGCAGGCAGTTCATAGAAGCGCGGGACTTAGGCAATTGCTGTTAAAGCAACTACTGCTCTATTGCAAATATTGCTGCTGTGATTGTGTCTTTCGTTAGACATGTTGGTGCTCTTGTTGCTGCTGTGAAAGGATGAGCATCTTTTGCAGATATTGCTGCAGTGCTTGCACCTTTTACTGCTTATGTTGCTGCTGTGAAAGGGGCAGCAGGGAGTTCTTAACCGAAACAGTTGCTGTGGCAACCATTGTAAATATTGTTGCTGTTGCTGCTTGGATTGCCGATGTAATACCAACAGCTGCTGCTGCTGCTGCTGCGGCTGCGGCTGCTGCTGTTGGGAACAGGGGAGAAAGGTAGTCTATGTTGCTGTTGCAAATGCCACTGCTGTACATTTTCATGGCCAGACAACTGTTGGCCCAAAGACAACATTTTGCAGCATTTTCACTGGCGCTTGACCAGACGCCAAAGTTGTTGCTGTCGTTGTTGTTGCTGTTGTTGTTGTACAAAGTGTCGCGTTTACGAAAAGTTTTCTCTTTTTGCGCCGAGTGTCTTTTGCAGGGGGAGGGTTGCGGGAACTTCAAGCGGGGCAGTCAGTTAAAGGGGCCAATCTATGCATCTATCCGGCTTTGAGTTTGTTTTAGTCAGCCCGTCCCCCCCCCCCCCTCTACCCTACCCCTTTTGCGGCATTTCTTTTCAGTTGCAAATTACTTCAAGTTGTTCGAATCTGGTTTTGTGCGGCGGCAACTGTTGTTGCTGCTGCTGTTGTTGTTGTTGTTGTTGTTGTTGTTGTTGCTGCTGTCAATAAACTGCGCTAGCTGCGATTTTGTTATTGTTGTGCATAATAGACGCCCTCCGCCCGCCCTCCCCTCGCCCCAGGCCCGTGCATAAAGTCTGGCGAGCGTCTATGGATCGAATAACTTTAAGCTCATCAAAAATAATAATAATAATAAAAAAAAAACAGCTTGAAACTGGGCGTAGGTAAATACTTTATATGTATAGGCACATGCTTTACAATCGTTGTCTTTCTTCAGATATATATATATATATATGTATATATTAACTTGCAACACGTACTTTATTATAATGCTCCGTCGCCCGATAATAGAAACACTTTTGGCTTTGGCCCGATAAAAAAAAACCACTCAACACACGCGCGCACAAAAACAAAAAATAACAATTTTTTGATTATTTCTAAATTTTGAAAATTTTAAATATTTGTTTCTTTCGACAATTTACAACACTGAGTTGCTTGTTGCTTTTTACAGCACAGAAAACCGAAAGAAAAAAAAAAACCGATTTTCGTTCAATTTTTTTTGTGATATATTTATTTAAAATTGTATTTTTTCAGTTCGTTGCGTTGTTTTATTTTGAAAATGTTTTCTTGGCTATTTTTTACTGCTGGTTGCTGCAGCTCGTCGCGTGCTGCTGCTGCTGCTGCTGCTGCTGTTCTATGCGCTCGCAGCGGCTGTTCAAAATAAACTGAAAACTGAAAATTCTCCGCAGTTGCCGTTAAAAATAGTCGCAAATCCCGAGCCGAAGCTGGCGCACACGAGCGACAACAGCGAGCAGCGAAATTGCTGTTGTTGTTGCCGTTACTGTTACTGTTGTTGTTGTTGTTGTTGTTGTTGTTGTTGCTGCTGTTGTCGGTGTCTGCATGCAGCTGCTGCCGCAGCATGCTGTTGGGCAAAAGGGGCCTTTGGCGGGGCGCGCTGCTGCAATCACATTCTACACTCTCTCGCTCTCCCGCTCTCCCTCTCTCTCTCGCTCTTAGGCCGTCTCTTCATGCGAAGGCACGGCCTGCATGCTTATGAATGAGATTTATGTTTAGATTTCAGTGTCACGTTTTGATCCACATTTCAAAATACAACAACAACAAAAAACAAAGAGCAGAGAAAAAAGAACAAAAAGAACAACAAATAAGCAAAGGCCTAAAAAACAGAAATCTACAAAATACTCGCTCTTTTTATGGCCCATTTCAGGCGCTGCACAAATTAAGAAGCTATAAAAGAAAAATCGCGCATACGCTCTGTGAACAACGGGCATAAATTAGCAGAAAACAAGAGTACACCGGGAGGGAGGGTACGACTGGGAGATACCCTAACTGCACATACAAGCACATTCTCACACACTCACAACTCTGCTTCTTCTCTCCTCTGCCCCACACTATGAGAAATGCATTCTTGAATAACTTCGGTCTTTATAGTCCGATTTTTATGAAATTTTCCGGACTTAAGTATGGAATGCCAAAGTTGGTATACACCAATGCGCAAGATTCTTGGGATTACATATCCCTTTTCTTTAAGGTTTTCTTCAATTAATGTGAAAAGTTTGGGTAGGCATAAAGAATTGGAAATATTCGAAAGCTGCGTATTCTATAGGAAAAGCTACATATTACGTTTGATGTATGTATCTAGTTCTTGGAATCCTCGAGATATGCTTAAAAGCCTAAGTTTCAAAATTGAAAAGTATGAAAAGCTCGTTCTGTGTATAAGGAATATATATTACAAATCTCAAGTGATCAGGAATAAATGTAAGCTTTAGGGATTCGCAGATGCTTTCTTCTGCCTATTACATACACTTACACAAAGCCATTATACCCTGCTTATCCATTTTCAAGGGTGCAGGACTTAAAAACATAAGCAAAATGTGGTGCAGCAACACACCAAGTGGTGTCAAAACTCAAAGCATATCATTTAAGAGATTTCTTATAAACAAGAGCATTGAAAAGCAGCAAATATTCGCCTAGAAGATACCCTGTAGAGGGCTCCAGTGTGTAAACATGAAATAACTATGCTCTATATTAACATAACAAAAGCCTTAAATTAACTTATTAAACAACATAAAGAATAAATAGAATATGTTTTATATATATGATATATATATAATTTATATAATTTTATAGAAAATTATACAAAATGAGGCGCATTGTTTAATCAGTCAATTTATTTTATATTGTTTTAAAGTTTTGCAAAGTTTTATATACGTTGCTTTGACTGTTCGAAATTGTGGCGTAACTTCTGTTTTAGAAGCTTAAAGCTTTAACTAACTGCAAAAGCTTAATGCTTTGTTTTGCTAAAGCTTTAAGCTCTTATGTAATGTGATTTGTGCAATGCATTCAATAGATTTATTATGCATTCAAACCAATTTGAAAAAAAAAACAAATTAGCTTTGCCATAAATCAAAGTCGTTTAGGGCAAAAAGTGGCGACTTGAGCATACCCTGTATTCAAAAATATCAGCATATATCGTAGGTACTTTACTTATTTTTTCTTTGAAAAGTTCTTATACAATACAAAATGATTCCTTAAATAATACTGTCAATGTCATAGTATCTCCAAATGGAATAGTCATGAGAAGAGAATTTAAGTTAGGCAGCCTCTTTTAAGCATTTCTCAATACACAGGGTATCAAACCTATGGCATAATAATTAATGTTTATTTTTGGAAACATTTTAAACGTTGATTTAATGATGTAAGTGAAAGCTGCGCTTATTAGCTGCTACATTACCTAACAAAAATAACGCAAAAGCGATTAAGTTTTTTATTTTTAGGCAATATTTATTTATTTATTGGGCGCATAAAGTTGTATTTGTGCGAAAAAGCGCTGGAGCTTCAAAGCTTACAAAACAGCTGTGCACATGTGCGTGAGCTTACGGTAACGTTACGCACAAATTACGGTAATGTAACGCAAAACTGATTGCGTATCATTATTACGTCACGTAACTAAAAACCTTGTGTGTTGGGTAATGCATTTAGAACGTAGCAAACAAGGAACAACACAGCTGCTGTGCGTTATTCGCTTACGTGACGTTAAGGCGTTACGTAACGTGAGATGACGTTACGCTATTGTTGCACTAAAAATTCACATTTTTTAGCCTCATACAACAAATTTCTTTATTTATGCAAATGAAAAAACAAAAAAAACACAGTCAATGAAAAATGAAAGCAAAGAAACTAAAGTAAAGAGCGCTATGATAAAAGAAGCGAAAGATGGAGAGAGAGAGAGAGTGAGAGCGAGTTGCGCTTGAGCAGAGACGCTAACGAGCCATTTTCTGGGGCTCATTTCTCTTTGCGCAACTTTTGGCTGGATACCTCGATGGCCTCCAGCCAGAGCTTTAAATCGTCCGGCATCTCCGGCCGCTTGGCGGCCTCCGGATACGTCTTGAGCAGATCGCTGACATTGCAATTGGTGATGCACTGCTTGGAGAGGGCAACGGCGCGCACAAAGCCATCGGCCAGTGTTATAAACTGTTGCTCCAAATAGATGGCCTTGTCATCCCACCAGACGAGCCTCGTCTGGATCTTGTACGGATGGAATATGGGTATGGTGCGGCGATACCGCACGCTGCTGGCACCCTGGACGGCGCCGCCGCCGCGCTGACGCACCAGCTCATAGAGATTGGTCAGCGCATAGAAATGGAAGCGGGCAAAGTCCAGTTCGCGCAAATAGCGCGCATTGTTCATGTGCCGCAAAAAGATGTCCACATCCTGCGTGGTGCACAGGCCATAAATGGTTGTCGCATCTGTCACCTTGCGCTTGCCCTGGAACAGCCGGCCGGCGAGCACCGTGCAAACGCAGCGTATAAAATAGTTAACATCCCAGATGATGTACAGTATCAATAGCACCACCAGCAGCGACATGGCGACGACAAGGTTTTTTATCTGCAAAAGGTTGCCAGAGAAGAAAAAAATGAAAAACCCGTTAGTAGCGAAAGTTTGTTCCAAGTAATGCGCGAGACTTTGAACCGTTATTTCGTATGCGGGATGTCAATTAGATGCATTGAATATACAAAATATATGTATGTATATCGATATCCTCCCTGATTCTAGTACTTACAGTAGACACTCAAAACCCAAAATGCGATAACGTTGCGAAGTCAGAAATATTTATCAGCGATTGGGCAACGGCGGGCAATGCAGACGATCAACTGCCAGCGACAAGCGACCGAAGGCAACTAACTGATAGGAAAGATACCAAGCAAAAGCTGACTCAAGTGCCAAGCGGCAGGCCGACGCGACGGCAGTGTTGGCCATGCAGCTAGTTTCTGGCTGCACTTGGCTGTTTTTTCAGCGATCAATTTAGCTTGCACTGGAGAAGTTTGCAGTTGCCGCTATTTCTGGCATTTTTGTTGTTGCTAGTAATTATCAAAACTTAGTCACTGTTTTTTTTTTTTGATTATGTGACATCTTGCAACACTGCAGCTAAACTAATTTAATTATATACAGTCAATTCGGCTGATTTTAGCCGTTTTCAACATTAAATGCAGCTACTTTTCCAAAGCGACAGTTGTCAGCACTGGCAAAATCAGCTGCAAGCCAAACGAAAGTTGACCAATCGCAGCGGGAGAGCGCAACAGCAGCAGAGCTGAAGTCAGCAAGTAAGAGAGAGAGCGAGAGAGCGAGAGAGCGAGAGAGGCTTAAAGTTCAGGCAGGCCTGGCCATGCTTAACGCAGGCGTCTCAAGTTCAAAGTCTAATTATAAACGGTCAAGTTCTTGTGAGTCCCACACAATGTACATCAGCTTGCATATATTACGCGCATTAGGTGCGATGGACGTGCGCTCATAAATGCTTAATTTAATGCAGCATAGGTTTTTTATACTAGTACATAAAAAAGAAGAAATGTTGAGTGAAAATTATTGTAAAAAATAACCAAACACAAGAGAAATATATGTATATGTAAATTAGAAGATACATGTTTAAACGAGCCAATAAAAATATGTAATAATTTTTAATAATGCGAAAGGCTTTCTGAAATGAAGATTTCTCTGTAATATTGCCAACCACTTAATACATAATATAGATAAGGACTAAATCCAAATTTGCCAGCTACCTGCTGAAAACACACTTAACTTGTATTTAGAAATATAAAAAAACAAAATTCGATTAGCAAATCAAATGATAAGATAATAAATATTCATACGAAGAAAATAAGAGAATGACCATTTTTATTTTATAAGTATAAGATACCAAGCTTGATATTTGTAATAAATAAATAATAATCGAGTGGGAAGAGTGTCTGAAGAGCACCTTGAATTTTGCTCGCTCTTCGCTTGCTCTCTTCGTGCTCTCTTGGCATGCCTGCATTTGCGAGCACTTGCACTTGAACTTGAATTTAATCGATTTACCGCTGTTCTAAGCCGTTTCCACTGTTTGCTAGCACTTGAGTCTCATGACGCGCGTGCAAATTGCCAACGATTGACATTTAACACTTAAGAGAACTAAGCGACAAATTCATTTCATTTGTTCTGGAATTGCCAGAGTCATCGTGAACTGTTAGCTTGACCATTTACAGTTTGTTTACATTGTTGACAGTTGCCAAGCTCGGCCTTGCGTCCCAGCGTCTGGTGGAAACAACTTGTTTACTTCGCACTTTCTCACACTGCGCTCTTTCGACTGGTTTCAACACGAACATCTACACAGTACATTTGTATATGTATGTGTTCAAATAATACTTAGTTGCAATTGGTCTAAGGTCAGCGAAATAAGCAAATAAGGCTAGCTGATCTATGGGAATTTTAGGTTGAACCGAAAAGTCTCGTATTTGGCTAGCTGTTCACTTCCTTATCGCTTAACTAATAAGTATGACTATGCGTTTAATTTGTAAATGGGCGTAAAGTCATTGTTGTTGTTGTTTTATAATTGCGTGCATTGTCGTTACTAGACAATTAAATGCACTTAAAGCTCTCAAACCAGATGATCCTAGTCACGTTTCACAAGCGCAGTCACAGCTTTAATTGTTCTAGAAGCACACTTTCCAGCACTGCATTTCCTTTTCCAATGAGGTAGCCCTAATCTATTAGTTAGTTAGTTACCTGCCTGAGCACAAGGCGCGCAGCTAACATATATGAATTAGCCTTTTAATCACCAGGACTCCGAGTTCCTGCTCCTGTTGTTGAAGCCAAATTAAAGCAGAGAAGCGTGCGAACGTTTGCCAACACTGCGCTTGCAAGTCCCTGCTCGGGCGCGCATGAATAACAATTGTTAAAGTCCATCCGTGCACATAATTGCTAATCTTGCGTTTACCAACACTGCCCAGCACAGCATTCAAGTCAAGTCCCTGCTCAGGCGCATGTGAATTGTGTTGAGACCCCAAATTGAAACCGAGAGAAACGCTCAATTTTACAAGTTGGTAGATCTAAGCACATATTTACTAGACTAGCGCACACACACACACGCACACAGGCACACACACACACACACAGAGAGAGAGAGAGAGAGAGAGAGAGAGAGAGACATTAAGTAATTGTGGGTGATTAGCTGTGGATTCTAGTCGTAGTTGGATGCTGAGATTACATTGATTCGGCTACGGTGCACTTAGGGCTAGGCCAGACCGACTCAAATTCAGATTCAGATTCAGATTCAGACCGACTTAAGGCTAAGGTTGAAGCACGCTCGTCAACATTTGCACGCACATAGAAAAATTATTAAAAAAAAAAAAAAAAAAGTAGAAGAAGTTAAGAAATGTTCAAGCGGAAACGGAATGCCGTGCTCGAGTACCGCAGAGTCCATGGCAAATGAGTTGAGTTGAGTTGATTTGCGGGATGGGATGCACTCGGTCAGCAGCCGCTACGCAGATTCTTGCTGGACATGTCGTTGTACTCGATCCACTTGCACAGCTCCGGCGGCAGCGGCGGCTTCAGCTTGACACTGTATGCCGCCGCCGCCGCCGTCGCCGTCGCTGCCGCCGTTGACGTCGTCGATGTTGCGACTGTGGTTGCGACACGTCCGTTCTCGGCCTGCGCTGCCTCGAGCGTGGTCTGCGGCACCTGCAACGCCTGGGCCATGCCCACCGGCTGCAGGCTGGCCGTGGAGCTGAGCGTGTGCCGCGACGCCTGCAGCGGCGTCGCCGCCGTCTTGGGCAGCAGCTCGGCCATCACGCTGTCCATGGAGACGTCGATGACCCGCTGCCGGCAAATGACAATGCAGTGGATAAACTGATCCGAGGGACGCACAAAGCGATGCTCCATGAACAGCGACTGCTCGTCCCAGTAGATGATCTGCAAAAGAGCGCCAATTAGTTATTGCTCCCAGTTGCAGTCCCAGTTGCAGTCCCAGACCCCGCCACCTGCTCTACGCACCCTGGAGATGATCTTGAAGCGATGAAAGGGTCGTATGAAGCGACGATACCGTATGGTGGCCGCGCCCTGAAACACCGATCCGCCCAGTTTGGTTATGGTGCGATACAGCTTGGTGCGCTCATAGAAGTCGACGCGGGCAAAGTCCAGCTCCCGGAAATAGCGCGCATTGTTCATATGGTAGAGCAGGGTGTCCACGTCGTTGCTCAGACAGAGACCTGGCCGGAATAGAGAGGGTATAAAGGATAGTAAATCGGAAGCACGGCAACCTACCGTTCACGGTGGTCGTCTCCAGGATGTGGCAGCGTCGCTTGACGAAGCGCGCCAGCAGCACGCAGAGGCACATGCGCAGGAAATAGTGCAGCTCCAGCAGGCCGTAGAGCAGGACCAGCGCCAGCAGGCAGCCGAGCGCCACATAGCAGACCAGCTCCATCTTCCAGGTGCGTGGCGGTGCGGTGCGAGGCGAGGCGGTGCGAGGCGAGGCGAGGCGAGGCGAGGGGCGACGTCTAATTAAAAACGGGCAGCCAAATAGCGCGCAGGGTGGAAGCCAGTCAAGCGCCAAGTGGCCAGTTCTATGTATGTTGTCTACCCTATATAGTATATAGTATATATGAACTTATATCAATATATTTTGGACTCTTTTTTCTTGTGATTTATTTCCTTTTGTGGGTTGTTGTCCTGGCTAAAGGCTGAGGCGGACGCCTTTGAAAATTAGGTCATGCTGCTGACGTTTGCCGCGATGCCGCATAGGCTGATTGCACACAGACACACACGGACACACACGGACACACACACAGACACACGCGCGCAGGATCCAGCTAATTTGTTTTGAACAGTTACCAAAATGCACAACAACAAAAATAACAGCAACAACAACAACAGCAGCAGGGAGAACACGATGCACAGTGTGCAAGAGAATTGTTTTTAGCGACGCGCCAACCGCAGCGACAACAGCGCACTAAAAACTTTTTGGCCAAAATGCTGCCGGACCAGGCAGCGACGTCTGCGCGCTGAATAAGCGTCGACGTCGACTGTGACTGCGACAGCGACTGCGACGTCTTGCTGGCATCCTCGAAACAGCTCAGCTTTCAGCTGAGCAGCAAGCCAAAAAGCACACGCGCAAAAGCCGAAGCTTTTGCTTTTAGGGGTTGAACCTGTTGCCGGCGTCGCGGCGACTGCGACAGCGACTGCGACAGCAACTGCAGCCTGTGAGCTTTTTTTTCTTCTGTTTTTCTGTTTTTGCTGTTTTTTGTTTTGATTTTTTCTTTGTCAAGCTGCAGCTTCCGCTGCTAATGGCATCAGCGACTAACAACAACAGCAATAACAGCAGCGGCAGAGCGCAACAATAACAAAATTCCTTAGCTCTATTTGTTGTTGTTCGCTTTCCGAGAGTTCGTAGCTTTGGTATATTACCTGTTTTTTATTCATAAAGTTGCCAAAACAAATATTGCATTGCGCCAAAAAAAAAAAAAAAATAATAATAAATAAATAAAAATAAAAAAAAACACAAAAACCGAACACAAATAAATACAAAGTTCTAAAACCGATTGTTCTTTGAGCCAGTTGCATACTCGCACACTCCTTGTATGTATGTATATACCCTTACCAAGAAGTTTATTGGGCGGCTTCATTAGCTATACCAAGCTTGCAAGGATTCCAAATCGAATAAAGCTTTTCTACGCAAGCTTTAACTATATGCAAGCTTTCCGACAGGGATAAAAGCTTAAAAAGCTGCTGGTTAAAATATTTGATATAGACATATACGGAAATGTGTATGATCCTAACAAAAAGCGTGCCTTACTTGGGAGCTTTAAGTCTATTTATTCTACCGTGAATATCAACTATACAGAAGCCACGAAATTTCCAAAATATGCTAAAGACTTAAAAGGGTTCGAGCTCTTGTTCTCGGTTAACATTTTGCAAAAGCTCAGTGCCCATAAAAAGCTTTCAAAGTGCAAGCTCTAAACAATTTTAATTGGTATATATTTCCATATCCATATCGAGAAAACTTTATTAACAATAAATTATATGTTTATAAATATTTTAATATTATAATCATAAAAAAAAAAACTATAAAAAAAAGCGTATAAGATCGATTACACGTGCCGATTTTTGAAGCTCCACAAAGTTTGGAAGATTCTACTTAACATACATTTTCGTATTAAGTATTTATATTAAAAACTCAAAAAAAACTGCATAAAAAATACAAATTCCAGGTGGTTGCCCTCCATGAAAACGTGTCTTTCTTTAAAGGCTTAACAAAACTTTGGGTATTCGACTTTATTTATGTTTTTTGCTAGTCAACTCAATCGGAACTAACCAGACTTATAGAGCTCCACGAAAATGGGGAATTCACTTAGCATCCATTAAGAATACCAAAATGCAGTCTGAGTAAAGCCAAGCGCAGCTAGAGCTAGAGCTGATCAGTTTTGTATATATATATTTAGGTATATATGTATATACTTTATATAGGTATACAGACTCAAAGCAAATTTTTCAATAGTTTTCAAGGATTCTAGGAAAAAACAAGTACAAGAAATAATTTCAAAAGGCCAGACATACATATATTATATTAATTATTATAATTATATATATATATTTTTTAATATTTTCTACATATGTATATCTTCAAGAATTTTTTCTGTTTCAAAACGTGAACCAGCTTAGATATATCGCTTGATTATGTCTAAATAATTCCCGGAAAAAAGACCCTTGCATATCAAAGCATTAACCTAACCTATAACAAGTTCTGTGTAAAATGGAAGATTATTAAAATGAAAATTATCTTCATAAGTCCCAAGTTTGTAAGACAAAAGTTTGCTTACACTTAGAATATTGCTATACACTTTCTTTCCTCAAATATTGGAGTATTATTAGAAAAACACATTTGGCTGTCCCAGGCACAGGCATCTCTTCGAGTCCTGCCCAAAAGTTCAGTTCCATCAGTCAAAGTTTCTAGGCCCATTGATCTTGAGGCCTGCCACAAAAAAGCATTCAAGAATGTAATCAACGACAAAACTCAGGTAAAAACAAGTGAGAGTGCTTAAGTCGGGAGTGCTCGACTAGGAGATATCCTGAACCCTTCCCTTCATATCAGGCGCTTCTGCTCTTAGCAGCGAAATGCGCTCTTGAATAACTTCGGTGTTTATAGTCCGATCTTCATGCAATTTTCAGGGCTTCAATATGGCATATAGGAGAGCGTACATCCCAAAGATCCAGGCTCTATTGTTAAATGATGGTTGATTGATATTTAAAATGATATTTTCCTAATCTTGTGGGCGGAACTGGGGGAGGTATCGAAAAAGTGAAATATTCCCAAGCTGTGTATATCATACGGGAACCTACACAGCGAGTTTGGTGTATCTTGCTTTTATAATCCTCGAGTTAGGCAAAAAAATGGATCGATATTTATCGATATTATGAAAATGGCAGGATATACGGGGTATATATGTATCTAATAAACTCGTTCTGCGTAAAGGAAAACATATATTAGAAATCTTAAGAGTCCAGCTTCTGTAGTTTTCGAAACGTACTGACAAACGAACTTGGCGTGACTGACTCAGCTTCGTCGACTGGATCAATAATCTATATGCTTTATGCACAAAAACATGCTACCCTATTTAGAATTGTTCAAAGGTTATAATCGGATTGTTTACGAGCTCGTTTTCGAACAAATTCAAATCCGTATCGAAACCGGATTAATTTAGGCAAAACGTGCCAAGATAATAACAGCCATCAATATCAGCTGATGAACGAATGCGAACTGCTGTATACTCTATCCAAAAAAAAACAAACTGTCACAAGTGTGAGCACAAATCGTAGATACTCGCCACGCCTGTATATGCTGTGTACACACTCAAAGCTGATAGTTCCGAATAAAGAATATTACCAATTAGCAGGTTGCACGTTGTGCATACACGGGAAGTTTGCCAACAAGTCGCGGCAAGGGGCAAAGGGGGCAAAAGGGGCAAAGGGCAAGGGGCAAAGGGGCGAGCGGTTGTGGGGAAACTCATAGTTGTTGCAGTTACATTTTTACTTCTCAATTTATTTGCTTTCGGTTTTTATCAATATTTTCGTTTTTGTTTTATTGAAAGGTTCAGAACTCAAATCCGGTTCGATTGAGTCTATTGTTGCTTCGATAGGGACAAATATAACATTAAAGCGACCAAATATATATATGTATATATATATATATGTATATATATATATATATATAGGTGTTTGTATATAAGTATGTGATTCCATATAGGTATAAACGCATATGCAAGTGCTATGTACAAAACGTGTTATCCGTTCAATTCTGTTTGCTGTCCAAAGGAGGGAGACTCGCAAACTCTTAACATTTTCAACTGATTGACTGAGCATTATTTGTAATTAATGCGTTTTTCCATTGTTTTGTTGTTGTCTTAAATACTCTTGCTGGACAGTTAAGTCTTCGTTTAGTTTCCCTGTTTAGCATTGAGCTTAGAACATTTAGCTGTATCCAAGGATCCTGTATCCAAGCTGTAAGGACAAACAGATCATGAAGCTAACAAAACCATGTCGAGTCAACACTTGATCATGGCATGGATAGGTTTTTTTTTCTTTCATATCCAAACTGAGCAAACTCTTGAATAAGGAAATTTGAAAGCAATTTTAAGACCAAATCGGACGACTACAAAACAATCCGGCAAAAAGTGAATTTTGTTTAACAAATTTAGCTTAGTTTTATGTTGTTATGAGTTTTACTGTTTCGGCTAATTAAGCGGCTTTTTATAGGGAATATATCGAATGATTAAATTTAAACAAAATCGTTTGACTTTAATGTGAATATATGTTCAAGCTTAAGACGAAAACATGGTTCAATTATTTTGTTGCTATTTAAATAAATTGTGTTTAGATCGTACACCAAATTGTTTAAGATTTAACAACTAGTCGTAGCCAGCAAGGGTATTTGCATATTCGGTGTTTTCCGAATTGTCATTCTTTGTCGACATTTGCGTCTTTTCGTCTTTGAATTTCTTACAATTGGTTGCGTGCGTAATAAATAATTTAAGTTTCAACTCATTTAAATTTCGATTTTAACATATTTTGCTTTTTTCGGTAATTTTTTGTTTCTTTTTTTAACAAACATTTTTGAGAGTTTTAGCAAGAAGAAGAGAAAAAAATAGAAACTGAAACAAAAACAATATCACTTACAAATATGGTCTTAAAATCTAAACACAGGCAAACGGAGAACGAATTGAATCAATAAACGATTTCATTTTTGCTTCTTAAACAACTTTTTGGGCGCCACATAAGGGTATAGACGTTGGGGGGCGGGGTGGCCGGGTGCGGTAGCAATGAATACAGGCATATAGTATATATATATACGAGTACATTTAGAGCATAGGTTTCTATAAAGTTACACATAAGTGGGATATTCTTAATAACTATATATATATATATATGTATATATATATAGTGTTATATATATATATATTTATATTATGGGTATGTACAAGGGGGCTATGCAATATTACTATAATTATTATTTTTTGTTTCTTTTTGTTTCAACTAAGCAGTTGGGGTATACATTTATATATGGTTATAGCAAAAATGAACAAAAAAAATATTATCAAAAGAAAAAAAAAACTTATTAAACAGCATGAAATATACAAAAACAAATCAAGAAAAAAATGTATAGAAATGTTGTTAGCAGCTTAGCGGCAATATAGTGTATGCATATTCGGTTAAGTAGTTTATATAAGGTAAATATATATATATATATATAGATATATGCATAATAGACAACTTTCGGTTTGGCGGCATGGCTAGAAACTCCTTCCCTCTCCCTCTAAATCTCTCTCTCTCTCTATCTACTTGCTCACGCGCACACATTTTCTCTCTTTCCTGCTCCCTTGCTCGCTTGTGCTTTCTCACTTTCTCATTTCTACATTCCATTGCGTATACAGTATTTCTTGTTTCTTTTAAATTTGGATTGGATGGTCCACATTGATAATAAGGCATACAAAATACATACATAACGACTTTCCAGTTAAATTTTCTCTTTTTTTTTGCTAATACAAAATTTCTCTCGCTTGCCTTCAACTCTCACTTAACGGCTATTCTCTATCTCTATATTTACATATATATATATATATATATATATATTTAGATATATACATATATATATATGCAGCATCGATATCATCTCATTTTTCAACTCCTTTTAGCACAGCTCTCACTTTGCCTCTCTCTATCTCTCTCTTTCGTTCTCGCGCTCTCTGTTCGGTTTATCCTCGACATCAATTCAAATTTTGTTTACAAATTCCGATGAATCCCTTGTTTCATGTTAAATTTCACATAGTTTTACGGTAGCGGCAGCAGCAGCAGCAGCAACAATTCCAATTCCCATTCCATGCCAACCAGCTTTCTCTGTTCTCTTGTTCTGTCTCTCTCTCGCTCTCGCTCTCTTTCTCTCTCAGTTGGCTGCTTGGCAGAGCGCCTCAAAATCGCAGCGCTCAACGCTGTCCGCGTAGTTGCGTCGCAGCGTTGACAGCGGACAAAGATCGTCATCCTGTGGACAGCCGGGCAGGCGCACCGCACGCTCCTGATGCATCACCAGCACGCGCGGCTCCCTATCAATGCAGCTGCAAAAGTATATACAAATTAATTGAAACACTGTTTTTTTTTTTTTTAACAGGGTATTCAAGCACTCACTCATAGCGCACAAAAGCCAAATTGGTTGCGAACGCATCGATTTCACTTGTGCGCCAGAGACGCCCGCTCTCAAAATCCTTGTGCGTCAGCGGCCGCTCATCCCTTGCCACGCCCAGATGGGCCAGCATCTTGAGGAGCGTGCCCGAATGGGTGAAATAGAAGGTGGCATTGGCACGCGGCCTTGGCGTGCTGCAAGGCAGAAAAGGGACAACATTAAATGAAATTTATATTAAGTTTTTATTCAATATATATATATATATATGTATATATATAGCCTTTAGGTATATACATATATCTAGGTACTTACTCGATGGCCGCAAACAGGTCTGCGATTGCCGGACAGGCAATGCGATGCGTCAGTTCGTAGCCGTAGCCATCGTTCCAATAGTATTCGAGATCCTCGGCAAACTCCAAGGCGCTCAAAGCGGCCACATTGAAGAAGCGACACCAGACGGATGGCGGCCGGCGGCGTTGCCAGGCCGTCTCGAAGGCGCACACGGTGTACATTAGCTGGACATCCTCGATGGTTAAGTCCATTAATTTTGTGTTGGAACGCACATGCGCCACTGCTGACTGCATCGCAGGCTCCGCATAGAAGCTACGTGCATTAAACATTGTTTCAGGATTCTTATCGACGTCCGTTTTCCAGCGGCTGCAGAGTTTATAAAACTGTAGAGAGAAAACATAAAATGCAACAAGTAAGTAAAAATTGTGACGAGAGTGGGAGAGAATAGAACGGCTAATCGTTGCAACTACTCGTTCTGCCTTCTTGTTGTGGCTATGCTTTGTAGCTAGCTATTATACCTACTCGTCATATTTACTCGTTGCAATTCTCTTTACATCTACTCGTTCTGCCTTCTAGGTACGCCAATGTTTTGTGACATAGTTACAGCTACATGTCATATTTACTCGTTGCAACTTTCCCTACATCTACTCGTTATAATTACTAGAAGTGGCTATTAGCTCTTGCTTCTTTTTGTGGCTAGCTGTTACAGCTACTCGCTATATTTACTTGTGACATATACTCCTTACATCTACTCGGTATATACTTGGTGTGACTACTCGTTGTGGCTATGCTTTGTGACTTAGTGTAACAGCACATTTACTTCTTGCACGTACTCGCCATATTTACTCGCTGCAACCAGTCCTTGAATCAACTCGTTGCAGCAACTCGTTATTGTTGCTATAAGCTCTACAGCTACCCGACATATCTACTCGTTGCAGCTACTCGTTATGCTTACTCGCTGCAGCTACTATAGATATAAGCTTGTTGGTCGGCTTGGCTAACTTGCTGTGGTTTCACGTTCTAGTTACCCCTTGTACTGACTAGTTGCAACAATTCGTTATGCCTACTCGTTGTAGCTTCACTTTAAGCCTTCGTTGTGGCTATAAGTTCTTACTACTCGCTGTGGTTACACGATGTTGCTACACTAATTGCTACTCGGTATATCTACACGTTGCATTCACTCGATACATTCACTCGGCTTCTATTTACGCGTTACAACTACTCGTTACTGGTCACTTGTCGCATTATTCACCTGGTGTGGGGCTGTAGACAGCTACTGTGTTGTCCACAAAGCCCACCGCCAGTTGCACCTTGTACGGATGAAATGACAGGCATGTGGGATGTCCAATTTTGGAGCCCATGAAGCCCTCGTTGCTGCGCAGAACGCTCTGTGTGCGTCCATTGAGCGAATAGATGCAGATCTTTGATGAATTGCCGCAGGCAACAGCATCCGCCACCTGATGACTGGCCATGGCTGTGATATCGACGCCCGCCTCCCACTGATGCAGCACGCCGGTGGCACCGCCCGCCCGGCAAGCGCGCAAATCCAGAACGGACAGCTTGCCCGCCGTACAGCCGGTGACCAGGGACGTCTCATTGGCGCGCAGGCAGGCATGAAGTATGGGCGCCATGTGCTCCCGATAGACACGTATCCGGGCATCCTGCGGTGCACAGCGCTTGTCAAAGAGCCGCACGCTGCCATCCGCACAGCCGGCGACGATCAGATCACAGCGCTTGTTGGCCACAAACGGTGAGAGGACGCGTACGCTCGTTTCGCGGCGTCCCAGCTGCAGATCGCTGAGACGCAGCTCCCGCTCTACATCCCAGATGCGCAGATAGCGATAATAGTCACAGCCCACGACCAGATGCTGGCTATATTGTTGCCAGGCTGTCACAATGTCCGTGCTCGCCCGATAGTGGATGCCGCTGCCGCTGCCCAGGCTATTGGAGCCGGCGTTAACTCCGCTCCCGCCGCCGGTTAGGGCAGCGGCAGCGAAACGTTCAGCTGCAGCGGTAGCGGCAGCCGCAGCAGCTGCGGCGACTGTGGAGCCGCTGTTAACGGCGCTGCCGCCGGAGGTGTTGAGCAGCAGCGGATCCGATTTGAGCAGACGCTGCAGATAGGAACTGTTGCTAGTGATGCAGCCGGCGCTGCTGCTGCTGCTGCTACTGCCGCCGCCGGCGCTGCCGGCTCCGGTGCTGTAGTAGGCGGCGCGAGGCAGTGCATCCCAGGCGCTGATCAGGCGAGTTGTGATCGCTTGCGGTTCGCCGCCGCTGCTGCTGCTGCCGGTCGCATCCTGCGGACCGCCGGACGACTGCCAGACGCGTATGACGCCATCGTCGTGTGCGACCAGCATTAGACCCACATCCTGGGCATTCAACAGCTCAAAGCTGCAGACGCGCGCAAATCTGGAGGCGGGCAAGCGGCTGGCATTGAGCCGCCGGCTGGCGCTGTTGTTTCCGCTGCTGCCGCTGCCGCCGCCGCCGCTGCCAGCGCTGTTGCCGAGGGACTGGCCGCTGGCTGTGTCCGGCAGGGCCTCGGTCACGTAGCTGTGCACAGAATTGCGCACAAAATCGTAGATGAGCACCTTCTCCTTGTAGGCGACCGCGATCTGTTGCTCGTAGGGCAACAGCTTGACCAGGGACGGCGTGAATTGGGTTTTGCGAACAAAGCTGAATGCGTCCAGGCGCTGGACTCGATTCTCCTGCTGTTCGCGGCGTGCCTGGCGACGGATGAGCTCGTTCCGCTGATAGCGATACTCGCGTGTGCGCAGCTCCGCCGAGTTGCGATCGATGGGCCAGCGCTGTTGGCCCTGCTCCTCGTCGGTGCTGCCCTCGGCGCTGCTGTAGCGCTGCTTGCCGGGACGCGTAAAGTAGGAGATGGCCCACGGGATAAACTGCGTCTGCACGATGGGCTGCAGCAGCATCTGCGCCTTGGCATTGCTCGCGTCCGTATAATGATTCGTTTCGCTGCCGCTGCTCCTGGCCGAATTGTTGCCATCGGCTGGACCGGCGCCGGCGGCGGCGCCGGCCATCAGACCCAGCACATTGGCACTTGTGCCTGTTACCGTCTTGGATGCAGTTGCTCCGCCGGCACCGCCATCGGTTTCGTCGTTCATCGAGCTGGTGCGCAGCTTGCGCTGTTGTGCCTCGCCGCTGCTCGATAGACGCAGCTTCTGTGCCCAGTGACTGGCGCCGTTGCCACCTGCACCCGCACCCGCACCAGCGCCCGCAGCAGGTGCCGCTCCAGCTGCACTAACTGGCGGCGATTCGCCGCTGGCGCCAAGATAATTGCAGCGAGTATTCGGACTGGGCGGCAGACTGACGCTCAAGATGCTGCTGTTCAGCTTCTCCTGATCCCGGCCAGCTGTGGTCGCCGCTGCTGTGGCATTTGTCGCCTCCTTGGCGGTTATCATGCAGAGCGCCGCGTCCCGTACATGCGCGATAATCTTCTGCGCGGTTAGGGCCACCAGCGGAAACGGATCCTGGCCCAGATTGTAGATGCCCTGCCACAGCTTGGTGAAGATGTACTGAAATGGTATGGCATTGGTCGCGCTGCTCGTGTTGCTGCTGCCGCTGCTGCCTCCGCCGGCGCCAGCACTGCCGGCGCCCCCGCTGCCCGCCAGGCTGGTGCTGCTCATGTTCGATATGGAGCTGGAGCTGACGCCGCGTCGTATGCTGGCATGTCCGTGCCGCTCTAGACTGTGCGTGGACAGCACATAGCTGGGCAGGGCGTGCGTGATGCTCGCGCTGCGCTCCCCGCCGCACGAGACCAGCGCCGAGCTGTGGCTGTTCATGTGCTCGGCCATGTAGACGGTGACGAACTGCGACTCGAAGAGCAGCACCATCCATTGGAGCGCGGCGGCTAGCTCGAGGCGCACCAGCGGCGACATATCCTCGCCAACCGTCTCCAGCAGCGTGATGGCTATAATGCGATCGATGTTGTTGGCCTGCTCCTCGCTGCGATCCGTCACAGAGCTGATGAAGGTGCCCAGCGCAAAGACGGCAGCGGCACGGACCTCCGGTATGGGATCGCGCAACAGGACGTAGAGCTTCTCGTGCGCCAGATCGCGGGCACCCGACCAACGGGCCTTCTCAAAGTTCTGCCAGAGCATGCCCAGGCAGATGGCCAGCCACTGGCGGAGCAGCCAGCTGCTGTCGTTCAGCTGCTCCAGGCATATGGAGAGTAGCGGTCCCTGCAGGGCGCTCGTCTGGCCCAGCAGAAAGTTGTGGACAATGGAAGCGAGAACAAAGGCGGACAAAGTGCGATGCTGTTTGCTGACAATGTTGTCCTGCAGCACGGTCAGAAAATACTTGTACTCCTTGACCAGATCCACCTGGCAGCTGGGATCGACGGCCAGGATCTTGGCCCAGATGAACACCAACACGGGACGCAGCTCGCGCGTCGAGCTCTGCAGCAATTTGAGGACATACGGAAAGATGCCCACGCCCAGCGCCAGATTGACAGCCCAGGGACCCAAATCCAGGAACCTGGCGAGCAACTCCAGAGCACGCAATCGATGCACCTGGGACAACAGCACCTGCAGCACAATGGGCAGCTGCTCGGGCGGGGTGCGCGACTCCGATTCACTGTCCAGCCACACCTGGAACGCGGTCAGCTGATGCTCGAAGAAGGGCAGCTGACGATATGACGCCTGCTGCTCCAATATGTCCGGCAGCTGTTGCAGCGCCAGATCCACAACCAAATCCCAGGCCTTCCACATCGCGTGCCGATGACACGGCGGCAGAGCCGGCAACGAGACGGGCGTACAATCGTGACTGCGCAAGATGCGCTCGGCCAGCAGGAAATTGCGAAACAAACTGGCCACCAACAGATCCTGCCTGAACAGACGCTGGAAGAGCTCACGCGGCAGCGTGTTCCACGCAATCGTATCGGTAATTGCCGTAAATATCCAGTTCAGTTCGCCCATCATTGTCCTCCGATCGTTCACTTTGCCGGGTATCTTGTCAATTAGCTCGCTGTGGATGCGCGGCACCATGCCCAGCTTCTCCTGCATCGCATACCACTTGAGGGCAATATTAATGGGCGTAGTCAGGCAGCTGGTAAACAAATCAGCCGGCAGCTGTGCATTCATGGGCAAGATCTCATTGGCCGCACACGCCGCCAGATGTATACAGTTCTTGTAGCTGACCAGCTGTGCCGGCGGCTGGGCACCCGCCGCCTGTGCCGCGAGCGCCTTCTCGAGCTCTTGCTCGTGCTGCTCGGCAAAGGGCTGGAACGAGTTGATGATGATGCCCGCATTGGAGCAGTCGTAGACATAGATTGAGGGCGCCGCCATCCAGTTGATCAGCTCAAAGATGCTGAGCGGTATGTACTGCGTGAAGGTCTTGTTGAACACCCAAATTTCGCCGTTGGCCGTCGGCTTGGGCACGCCATGGCCATTATAGTGGAACAGGATGCGTTCGCCTTTCGCATTGCGACGCAGCGAGGTGCACAGCTTCTTTACGTCCTCCACGGTGGGATCGTGGCACTTCTTGTAGCGTGCGCGCGGCTGCCAGCGTTCGTATTGCATTTGCAAATTGCTGCCGATCAGCTCCATGGCCTTTGGTGCGGACACCGAACTGGGATCTATCCAGCACTCGAGCCGCGAACAGGGCTGAATCTTGACCACATCCGGCGGATCGACACCTATGTTGAGGCACAGGACGAGCGCCACGCTGGCCGTTTTCATGCGCTCCCGTATGCGCCAGGCGTGACGATCATATAGCCATTGCTCGATGGGCTCCTGGTGCCGCATGGCCGTAAAGCTCAGCGGACATTGTTCGTCGTGCACAAAATCAAGGTCAAATAGATGCGAGGCGTTCGCCAAGCGTGTCTGTTGTTGTTGTTGCTTTTGGTGGTGCTGTTGTTGCTGCTGCTGTTGTTGTTGGTGTTGTTGTTGGTGTTGTTGTTGGTGTTGTTGTTGCTGCTGCTTTGGCTGCTCCGTGGCTGGCGTCACACGTTCGCGCTCCTTGAGATTACGCTGATTGCCTGTGCTGGGCTTGCGAGTGGCAGCGTTGCCACAGTACGCTGGTGCGCTGCTCATCAGGTTGACGGCGCTGCCAGTTGTTCTGCTGATTGTTGTTGTTGTTGTTGTTGCGCTGCCGCTGTTGCTGCGTTCTCTGGCAACGGCCGACATGGGCAGCTGCAGCGCCATCTTTGTGGCGTTCCTCTTCTCTTTTTTCCGCTACGAAAAAGCTTCACTTTAGACCTATAACAATATATGCATATACATATACAAATTGATATATATATATATATAATTACAATTTGTTGCTGCGCTTGTTGCACCTGCCAATTGCTGTTGCTGCTGTTGTTGTTGTTGTTGTTGTTTTTATTATTATTTTTGCTGTTGTTGTTATTGTTGTTGTTGGTGCAGCACTTAGCTAGACTACTTCAACAGCACATGCCCAACGACAACGACGACGACGACGTTGGCTGCTGCACATAACCAAACAATTTTGCAGTCGCACTTCCCACGAACGACAACGTCGCTTGTCAGTTTTAACGTTTCATATATATGTACATATGTACGCCTGGTTGCGCTTGTCTCTCGTGGGCTCGAGCGTCTTTGCCCTTTTTCACAAATTACCAAACACACAACCGAAAACAAAAATGTAAACAAATGCTTTAAATCTTTAACCACAAAAAATTTGTTACAAAAAAAAAAATGCACGCGCTGAACAGCCAAGTACGAAATACGCATACGGTTTTTCACTCTCTCTGTGTGTGTGCGAGCGTGTTTGTCTGTATGTGTGCGCGTGCCTGTGTGTTTATTCGTTTCTGCACGCACCACAGTGATGCCACACCGCGCATACAAACGCGCTTCATTTAAATTGCACAAATTCGATTACATATTTGCATCTAATGCGCCGAAAGATGTCCGTTTACTTTACCTTACGTCTTCTTTCATGAATAATTATATTTCACATGTATAGCTACTTGCCGAAGATCGTGTTTTCTTTTCTCAATAAAACCTAAGCACTAATAATATTAGCTGCTGCTTGGCAGAAATCAGATAATTTTCTAAGGTTTCAGTCATCAAAATCTTATTCTCGTTATCTTAAAATCTTATCTCTTAGGAAAGATGCAAACATCTTTGGGCCTTGCCCAAAATATAATTAACATTAATAATAATAATTATTGTTATTACATATTCATAGTCTTACCCGTAGCACTGGATCGCGATGCAATGGCTGTGGATAGGTGATGGCATGTATGCGATGACGTCCAAATAAGCCGGTTGCAAAGCTCTGCGCACTTTTCAGAGTACGCTGTGTAGCCGTGTACTTCATGTAGAACCATTCCGGATTGTATAGATCGGGTAACAGGCTGGGAAAGCGCAACTGCATGCGTTCGGCCAGCTCAATCAGTTCATCTTCGCCCTCGGCGACCAGCAGTTTCTCATCGTCGGCATCGATGTGCTCCCAGCTCCAGCGACGCAGCTGTTTCAATTCGTCGGCACAGAGATTGGGCTCCGACTGGGCCAAGAGACGCGCCTGTATTTCGACCAGGCGCTCTTTGGCATGCAAAATAACCGCTTTGCTGGGATTGCGAGTGCCATGGCGTATAATGGCCCAAATTCGCGTCGGGTGGCAACCTTAACAAAAATAAAACGAAAACAAACAAAACGAATAAGCATGTGCAGGGGAAAAAACCAAAACAGCTGTGCATATGGTTGTCTTTTATCCCGGCACAACGAATACCCATATTGAACAATAACAAGCAGCATACCATCGTACAACGGCGCCGAATCATTATAATTGGCGATGGCGCGATATGGTGTCTTGGTGGACAGGCGGCGTTCGATTTCATAGCGCTCCAGATTGCTGCAGGCAACTGCATCAGCTGTTGCCAGTTGCGATTGTTTTGGTGTTAAAATTAATAAAAGCGGTATGAACAAAATGTATTTACTAAGCATTTTTCCGTTTGGGGGAAAAACTTGTCGGGTATTAAGAGTTCAAATGAAATAACTAGTTAACAAACGTAAAACATTGAAGGAAATAACTACACACACGCACACGCTGAATGTGTATGAAGAATAGCGCGAATATGCCGAGCAGGAAAAAATACAAATAAAGATGTTAAAAGGGAAGCTGCAATTACATATGACATGCTGATACACCGAAAAAATATATATATATGTTTATATGTGTGACACACGCACACACACGCATACAAAGTCAAGTGAGCGCTGCCAGTCGGTTCAGTGCATGCGTTTCAAATGGCAGCAGTCTGGTAACACTGCGCTTATATTCGATTATTCGATGCCAGACGATCATATGCATCGCCGCTTAAAATCAATTGCGCTGTAAGAATTTAAGTTGCATTTGCGAACTTCCAAAGGATTTGATCAACAGTTTTACACAATGGGTAAGCGAAAGCATTACATTTTATGATTATAATCTGGAGTAGCCTAATAATTCAACGATTGCTCAGCGCCAATTGCTCAAAAGCAAATAGTTCCCGCCAAAACGCGCGCTCAGACCCGCAATGCAACAACAACAAAGTCCACATCCAAGCAAAAGGATGCGGAGGAGGAGGCAACCAATTTGCCAACAAAGCGCAGGATGCGTCGCGCAAAGAACTCCAGCGAAAACTGCGAGGATCAACTGCCAAGTCCAGTTAAAACAACTTCAAAGAGAATACAAGCCCGGGTGAGCGCGTCCAGCGTGGGCAGCGACTCTCCCAAGCGCAAAAAGGCGACAATTGCAACTACTTCGCAGAGGTCACTGAGACGACCGAACGTGTCCAACGTGGGCGGCGATTCACCCAAGCCCAAGGGGAACAACAAAAAGGAGATCAAAACGACTGCTTCGGAGACGATAGTTACCCGACTGAGCGTGTCCAATATGGGCAGCGATTCACCCAAGTCTAAGAAGAACAAAAAGGAGGCAACAGTAACTACTTCGCAGAGGAGACAAGCACGTCTAAACGTGTCGAGCGCGGACAACGATTCACCCAAGCCCAAGAAGCACCACATAAAAGAGACAATTACAACTGCTTCGGAGAGGATACCTATCCGACTGAGCGTGTCCAATGTGGGCAGTAATCCAGCCAAGTCCAAGAAGAAGAACAAGGAGAATATAAATGCCATGGCCGTCCAATCAAAACAGTGCTCATCCGAAAGAGTCTCCCATAACAACAACAACTACATAGGCATAGAGCCGGAGCTGGATTCCCAGCAAGATTTGGCGCGCAGATGCGAACTGCTGAAGGCGCTGTGCGTCACACTGGATAAGCATGCGGAGCAGCCGCAGCAGCCGTCGGCGACGGGCTACACGCACGCTGATTTAGAGCAGTTCCTCACGAGCTCCACACTCAAGGAAACATTCCCATTTGCCTATCACAACAAGAAGAAGGACACTGCGCAGGTGCAACTTGTGCTTGAGTTAGTTCTGAATTCAGCTAATATGGTTTCATTTGCAGCTCATTCAGCAACTGAATAGCGCCATAAACAAACTGACCGACGTGCAGCCGGATCAGCTGCTCGATCTGTACCATTTGGCCATCCTGATGCAGAGCTATCAACCGCTGGACACGCATTGCCAGGGCCAACGCTGCGAACTGTTGCAGACGGTCGGCCAACTGTCGGTGGAGCTGCCAGCGGTATATGTTGAATACTTTGGCATCAGCCTGTGCGATAGATTCGTATTTGGCACTGGCAGGGAGCGCATGCAAAGGGTCATCGATATGCACCGAGCTCTGGTGCTGCTCATCAATGATCGCGATGTCAATCGTGGCATTGCGATGACCATCCTGCTGGCCACGTTCGCCAAGATCTCGGGCATGGACATGCCCAAACCCCAGACTGATATTGTGCGTGCCTAAAGCAAACAATTTCTTGCCCAAGCTAATCCCATTCTCAATCCCTGTCATTGTAGATTAGCCAAGCATTCGATATGGTGAAGCACGTGGACTGGATGCAACTGATCGTTGCTCGCCGCGAAGCGGATATGTTTGTGCTGGTGCGCTGTTTCGCATTGATCATAAACACGCACCACAATCGCTTGGCGCACGCCAACTGGAACAAGGGCCTGGGCAGCGAGATACACAAATATTTCATGCAGGTCTTGCGCACAGTGCGCTTCTCCAGCAACTATAATGCCTTTGCCATGATGGTGAGTCCCAGTCTGACCGGCACTTCGCAGGGATTCTTACAGCTGAATGATAGATAGATGGGGGCAGGCATAGATATAATATTCTTGGTCTGTGTAAGCTTTGCGAGAACCAACTTTTGTGGGGAAATGGTTACTAAAGCAAAGATAAAACTTTTTCTGCATGAGAATCCACATTCCAAATGGGATGGCTATGGCTCTTATTATCTCCAGGAAACGCTTATAAAAGTCGCGAAAAATTATGGCATGATCAATTTAGATATTGGGAAAGTGGTTATCGCAAGAGAAATAGGCTTATTCTATCTTATATTTCATATCAGTAGTCGCTCGGCTAAAAACGCGGCTGAGTATCGATATTTATCGATATTATTATATCCTTGAGCCTACATTCCAATATAGAAGTCTAGGTTTTATAATTCTGGATAAATGTATAAAAATCGCTGCTGAAAATCGATAATTTATTGCTTTTAAAGACCCGGGGCTATCGCGGAAAAAAGCCTGTTCTTCCTACATTGGAACATAACTAGATAGACTCAGCTCGTCCTGATCAAGGATAAAGTACTTTGTGTTCGGAGATGATCAATAAATAATTATCATAGATCCGACATTTCTGCTTACATAAATATTTTAATTTATTATGATTTTAATTATTTTTTATTTGCTCGCAGGTGGAACGTTTTATTGCTTTTTGTGTTGTACGCGGCGCTGCGGCGAGGTAAGTTCCCCAAACTGAGAAACATTTCAAATTTTGAACTGCTTAAAAACAAACGAATGAAATCCCTCGCCCAAATATTTAAATTAGAAATGAAGGTTTCTCGTATATGAAAAGCAGCTTTTTTTGAATTTATTCGTTTATATTACTCGATGCTCGCCAATTATGTTAATTTGATCATTTTTGTTTGATATATTATTATATATTATTGGGGAGTTTTTTGTAGTCATTTCTGTACATTACGTAGCCAATTTACATCACTCGCTACTCGTTAGTTGTTTAGTTGTCGCTTTCACTTAATCCACCGAGCTCTTCGTTTTTAATAGGCTGCAGTAAATGAAGGAGAACTTTCGAAATCATTTCTTTACTTCACTTAGCCAATTTCCTGCACTCGTTACTCTTCGCTCTCATTTATTCCAGCGAGTTGTTCGTTTTTAACCACAAAAATAAAAATGGGCTGCAGTAAATGTTGAAGAGTTTCTCGTATTAATTGCTTTACTGTACCTAGCCAAATTTCTGCACTCGTTACTCGCTACTCGCCGCGTTCGATAACGAGTAAAGGGATGCAGTTAAGGGTGTTGGGGAGTTTTTCATATTCATTCGTGTACTGTACATAGTCAACTTCTTGCACTCGTTACTCGCTACTCGTCGGTTTTAATTATTCCAGCGAATTGTTCGTTTTTTATCATTAAAAATTTGTTTCATGAGCTCTGCTAATAATTTGTTTGTTTTGTCTCTTGCAGCTTTTCTGGAACAGATGTGTTTGACACCGGATCTCTATAATTTCTGAGCTGCTGAAAACTGAAAATCCCTCCAAATATTATTTATTTTTTAACATTATTTTATTTTATTATTATTTTTTTTTTTTCCTGTTGTCGTTGTGTTGTGTGCAAGCATATTGTTTTGTTATCGCGTCCAATGTAAGTTATGTGCTGCATACGCGGCTTGCCGCGATGTCAACAAGTGTGTGTTTTTGTTTGTAATGCCCGTGAGCTTTTTGTTGAGAGGGCGAAAAAGAAAAGCTCACGCCGGCCGGCCGTCCCCAATTTGGTCGCTGGCGACGTTGGCTTAACGCCTGGCATTTTGTCTGATTAACTTGGCTTTTGGTGCATGCACGAAAATATGTTTTTAGTCGCGCATCGCCCTACCAAAGTGACGGACCCGCTCAGCCAAAGCAACAAAACAAACCAAACCAAACATAAACTAATTTTATAAAAATAATAATAAAAAATAGTATTAGGCAACGTGCATTAATGGATTTAATTGCATGCTGTCAAGCATTCATATAGTTTTCCCCTAAACATTTCCCTGCTCAACGTTGTCCTTGCGCTCGGGTTTGCTTTCAAACGTTTGTGCTGCGTGTCCTGGGCCTGGCATATGGCGCCGGAAAATGCGCCGCCGCACGTGCCAGCTGTTGATTGCGCCAAAAACTAATCACAAGGTAATGCCCGCCTAACGGTTTCACTGCTGCTACACATAAAAAACAACAACAACAAATTTCATAATAATTAAATAAAAATAAAAACAGACCCCAGCCCCCCTCCCCCCACCCTAGCCTAACTCACCCACAGCACACACACTGAAGGAATTCTCATATTTTGTTATTTGTCGCCCTGTCGCACGCATGAGCTGGGCAAATTAACTTCGCCTTGGCACGCCACCTGTTGTTGGCTGCCAGCTTTCGAATGCCGTTATGCGGCTGGGAGCTTAAAGCGCGCGCAAATGCGTCGATGACCGAACTGATCGATAAATGACAGTTTTATTTATGGAATTAGCGGCAGAAATGTTATTAAAACCCGTTATCGCAGCTGTCGTAGATAAAAATAAAACACACACGGGTCTAAATCATTTAAGACGTACTTAAATAGTTAAACACATTCTGGGATTAAAAGCCTGCTTCACGTGTCCCGACATGCGTTCAAACAATTTTACTTCAAATAGTTATGCATTTGGCTTATAAAGGTTTTGAAAACCTAACGACAAGACAAAAGACCCGAACTGTGTTGTTTAATACTCAAATTTAATCATATTAACTGATGTTCAGTTATTTTCTAGCTAAATTTGGCCGTCCGTCGGTAACAGTTAAAAATTTGAACTGATTTGGCGTTTTATTGGCTAGTACTAGCTATGCGTTTAATGTCAATTTAGCTCTTTAAAGCTAGTGTTGTCAAAAGATTCAGCCACTTTTTCTAAGCGACAGCTGGCAACACTTCACACCAGGCTCTATATGCATTACAAAAAAAATCGATTACAGTTATCGATAATCTGCACAAAATAAAATCAAAGTGTATCAGTTAGCTTTTGCTCCTAACGATATCGTTAATTTTGAATTTCCTGAGGCGTTTTTAGATTATACTCAAAATGAATTTGTAGGGATCAAAATCCAATAGCCAAATTAAATATATGAAACAAAAAAGCAAATCAATCAACTGGAAACAAAAAAGAACATATCAAATCAATGACCGCAACGTCTCAAGTATTTACTAATATTAATTTTCGAGTATGATTAATCTAAGCCGAAATACATGTGTATTTTTGATTGTTGTTGCGCCCGCTTATCGCCAGCGGGCGGTAATTAATTTTTTTCTCTCTTTCGTTTTGGCCAATGGACAACACGAAAATTGTTAACAAATGACAATCAGACGAAGATCACGCAGCGATAATGCCAATGACGAATGATGGAATAGCAAAACGCGGCAAATGGCGCATTCCGTTCTTTTTTTCCATGCGAGTAGCGTCAGGCAGGCTGCCAGAGGCGCCGATTGTCTCTGTGTGTGTGTGTGTGTGTGTGTGTGAAACGTGCCGAAATAGTTTTGACACCTGTTAAAGCGAGCGAGCTGTATATGTGTGCATGTGTGTGCGAGTCTGCACTTCCTTACAACGCAGAAGGCAGAAGTGTGTAAAGCAAAAGAGAGCTTTTTATGCGGCCGGCGCTGTCAAAACGTTGGCTTATTTGTCTTTACTTCTGTTGTTGTTGTTGTTCTTGTTGTTGCTGTTGTGTTTTTTTGTTTTGCCGTTAGCGCGCGGCCAAGCGTGTGCGCTGGCGTCGCTGCCGCTGGCCGGCTGCTTAAAAGCTAAGGACAGCTCGCAGCGTTCAGTACGTAACGAGTAGTCGCCTCGCGCGGTTTGGCGGCGCGACAAAGCAACACACAAAAAGAAGGCAAACAGAAATAATAATAAAGCAACAGCAATAGCGCGCAACTAAATGTAACTGTTGTTGTTCAAAACAAAACCGAGCCATAAAAACTGTCTGGCAACGTACGCAACAGAAAACAACAACAACAAAGCGGCAGGCAACAACAAAAAGTAATGCAAAAACAAATGCCATTAATTTACAAATATAGTTTACAATTTCAAGAGGCAGCAAACAAAAAACAAAAAAAAAAAAACATAAAAAAGAACCGCTAGTTAGTTTCAAACAAGAGCAATAAAATTTAAATTAACGTACAACAGCAACAACAAAAATATGCCCAACTTGTTATACAATGCGAAATGCAAATTAATTAGAATATCATATTTTTTTTTCAAATATTTTTTGTAACGAATTTTTTTTTTTTTTGTTGTGTTGCCAACTGGCGCTTCCCCCCAAAACTGTGCGTGTGTGTGTGTGTCACATATAATTTTTTTTTATGCATAATCCGAGCGTTTATTAAGCGTTTAGATAAAGATTATCACGAGATGAGTGGAGCGCGCGACGCCAGCCTCCAGCTATCCCCGAGCTCCGAAGCCTCCGATCGCCCTGGCTGCGCAGGTGCGGCCCACGCTTATTTTGTGAACCGTTCTCGCAGAACTAGTTTCAGATATTTTTTGTCGTTTTTTTTTTTTTTTTTTTTTTGTTTCTGTGCGAAATCAGCCGCTGTATCTCAATTAAAATTGAATACTATAGCTAATCAAAGTTGAGCTGCTTTTTGCATCTCTCGTTCTCTGCGTTCTACGCGGCGGCTGCGTTTGCTGACCCACCACCAAACATGTTGGCCCTGATCGCCGCACGACTGGCCGACAGCCGGGACAGACAGCTGTTTACCGGGCCTATCAAAATATATACACATTCATTTATTTGTGTGTGTGTGAGTGTGTGTGTGTGTTGACAGCAAGGAGCACAGCGTGTGATCTCAGCAGCGATCAAAGATTATCTTGTGACTTTTTCGGCTCCATCTGGCAACCCTGAAAGATTCCTGTTCAAGCAAGAGCCTATTTACATATATAAAGCCAAAATACCCCAAATTTGGTGCAAAACAACCAGCAATAGGCAATTCTGAGGCTCTATAGTATATAGATTTCAGATCAGGATCAGGACTACGGACTGTGTCTGTCCGTATGAACGGATAGATCCCGGAAACTACAAGAGGTTCCTCTTCAAATTTGATATACATTCTCGTATAACCTACGCGAAGCTTTTAAATGTATCTTATTTTGCCTATATTGTGACCCATATTTAAAATATCTATCAAAAATTAGATTCTCGCATAGTTTATATAGATTTGAAAATATTTAACTTTCCGGATAACTTCAGCCATTCCACCCAAAATGGGTGTAAAAAACGAACTATTGCAGCTAGAGCCTTGTACTTTGGTATTCACACACTTTTGTATGCCATATTTATGGCCTGAAAATTTCATACAGATCGGACTGTAAGCACCGAAGATCGTCAAGAACGCATTTCCCATAGAATGGGCCTAAGAGCGTTAGAAGCATGAAAAGCAGAAGAGAAGAAAGAATGCTTGGCGCTCCCAAATTGGGCTCCTAAATTGTGCTCAACTCTTACTTGTTTTAGTTGGTCTCAAGTCATGATCTAATCTAATATCAAATTAACGACCATTTAAATTCAACTATTTATTTAGATTAATGCAATTTTTTTCCTACTATATCTATTCCCAAATCTTCATCAAGATATCTTTGCCTACGTTTTTTTTTTAATCTTTGGTCATGATCTAATCCCTCCCGTCTACTCGTATCAAGTTTCATTTACATATGATGCTCGTAAAGCTTTTTTTTTTTTTAATAATAATATATAGCTAATATTACTCATACGAGGCGTTGTCTATGTCAATTAATAGCAGCAAGAACTAGAAACAAAACACATTTAAAAACAATTTAGTCGTCTTCTCCTGACTGCGCCATGCTCTGTTCGGCGCTTGAAAGTCGACTATTTTGACTGGATCTTTTAGATTGTTCCAAAACATCCAAAATTCTTACATAAATTGTGCACAAATTGCATTGTGCAAACAATTGTTTCTAGCTGTAAACATTTTCCACGCTTCAAGAACTTTTCATTTTATATATGTTAAGGAATTTTTTCATTTTGAGAACAACTTTCTGGTTTTCTTATGATCTGATCTAATTTTCATTAGCTCGCTGCCATCCTTTACTTTTAATTTTTTAACAAACAAATAGACTTAAGATCGTAACAAAATGGAAGAGTTAACAGAGAACAGCATGCATTTGGATTGGATGGGTTTATGTAGAATAAAATGATATGAAAACATTTTGAAAACCAAAAGAGCAGAGCCCAATTTAAGTGTTTAACTACCTTAAACACAACAACTATGAACTACTCTATATGAAACAGTTTAAATTTCATAGCTAATTGTTATTAAACATTTCACTTACGTACAGTTGCGCATAAAATGACTCATTAAAAGTGATCACACTTTGCGTTCGTCTCGTATTACCCAACTGGTTTCAATTTATATCAAAAATATCATACATTTTTTATTACAACACAGTTGGCTTAGGTGATGTTGCGCCAAGCCTCAGGCTTTATCCATCTGGTTTTGTCTGGCGCACTCTGGTAATTGACAATTGCAGTTATTTGCACTGACATTTTCAGATAGCACGTG